TGCCACTAACCATTTTAATGATGTACTCAATTAGCAATTTAAAGCTGAACTAGTCATAGTAACAACTGTTAGTGAAGAGATTCTAATCATTTATCCTGATATAAACTACTGCTGTGAAAACGACAGCATTATGTATGGATGCCCTTGAATTCAGTTTTCTTATTGTCCAGATGTGTTTACCCTCAATGTGACATGTCTATGGAGAAAATGTTAATATTATCAGAAGAACTCAAACTTGCCTTATCTCTACTATTCACAGGTAGTTGAAATGTTTTGGGCCCCTATCAAAGCTCCAAAACGTTTAGTCTCATCAATTGAGTGCTTGGATTCCGGACAGTGAACTCAGTGTGTCATTAGCTCAACCAAACATTGAAACTTGGTCTTCGCCGATAACCTTTATCTCAATACCATGTATATTGGATAAAGGTTCTAAGTTAGCCACCATAATATTTTCATTAGATCGTGAAAACCACCACATGTAAACGTGAAACCACCAAAAATAGTATAGACTATCACAAGGTCAATAGTCGATTTTTTAAGTCACATTAAAAACAATGAATGGTAGACCTTTCTGTACTAACTACCGACTGACCAACTAACATATTCTGTGACAACACCAATAAAATCTTCGACAAAATCTCACGTTTTGGATAGCGTAAACATGGGATTTATAAGGATCTGTTCATACTGGTCCATACAAAAAACAACTCAGAGCACTAGTCAACCAACACTCCCCTTTTAATAACGACAACAGAAATATTTGTCAAGGCAGAGGCAGTACGTATACAAAAGATAGTCACACAGGGAAAACGTGCCATAGAGCTTGACGATGACTCTTCCACACTCGTCGAAATTCTAAATAAACTCAGATGTTCTTAATCGCAAGGCGGAAACATTTATCAAGCATAACTAAGTATATGAAGATCCTAAACGTATTAAGGGGCCATTTAGTTAAGGATTATGTTCTGTATTAACAAACAAATTAACAATAAATGAATAAGAGCCTGCCCAATTATCTTCTTGTTAAATGCGGATTCTAATGGGCAAGATATTTCTAAAGCATATATTCATTATCTTGCGTAGACAATTGTTTATAAATAATTGTACATATTTGATGATGGTTGTGGTGGTTCTCCAAGTTTCAGCCCCATACAGTAGAACGGTCTTGACCTCTGTATTGAAGATCGTGACTTTAATATTGGTTGACAGTCGTTTTGAGTTCCATATGTTCTTCAGTTGCAGGAATATTGTCTTTAATTTTCCAATCCTCGCCTTGACGCCTGCGTCTGATCCTCCACGTTCCTCGATGATGTTGTCTATGTACGTGAAACTTTGCACCACTTCCAGAGTTTCTCCATCAAGTGTGAGTGGGTTGATGTTATCTGTGTTATATTTGAGAATATTGCCTTTTCTCGTGAATGTGTTGAGACTTAATGATACAGAGGACGCTGCTATACATCTACATCTTCTTGGGTTTCGCCATCAAGAGTGATTGGATTGCTGTTCTCTGTGTTGTATTTGAGGACCTTGGTTCTCCCTTTGTGTATGTTGAGGCCTATTGATGCAGTTGGTGTGTATGGGATTGAAAGACTAGGTGATCTGTGAAAGGTTACTCGAAATGTTCCACCCATCTGTTCCTCTATCCATGAATTTCAGTAATCGTCTTGCCTTCGTTGTCCTTGACCGGTCTCTCTGGTTTACTGTATTTCGCTGCTAGTTTCTTCGTTGTGTCATGTAGTTGTCTCATATTCCTTCTCTTTCAGCTTTATCCAACGTGTTGCAAGCTCTCCCATATATTTCTACCTGTCACCTCTAATGCTCTACTTCACTTGCTTGTTTGCTTCAGTGTATTCAGCTTGAACCTTGACTCTCTCTGCTTTTATTCGACTGTTGCTAATTGTTTTCTTCTTGTACTTCATTTATTGAATCTTGTCCAGGGTTTCGATAGTAATCCATTCCTTATGATGATGCTTTTTACGACCCAGCACCTCCTAGCATTTGAGAATTTTGATGAAAAATACGTAACTTTGAATAACGCATGCAAAACTGGTGAATCAAATATTCCTATCCCACCTGATTGACCACTTGAGGATCAAATCAAATGGAAGAACTCATTTATGAAGTTAAAAACTCGGAAACTAAGTGGAGAAACGAACCTTACGATTAAGAGTTTTCGGGTTGTCAGTTTCTGAAAACCAATGCTCTCGAGACCTTTATTGTTGGAACGATTGATTCTCAATACACTTTAAATGTGCGCTACACGAACGCTCGCAGTCCGAAACAAAATTTCCTAGTCAAGTTTGATGGTGGATGAGTTAAGTTCTGATATAACTGCTGCCACAGAAACGTGGCTCACCGTAGATATAGACTGTTTTCCAATATTTCAGGCTAAATCTATATTAGAAGTGATAGAGGAGATGCTAGGGAGGAGGTATAATGTTGTATGTTAGGGATCACTTTCATATACCACCAATCATATAGGAGGCGAATGTTAGTGGTACATATGAGGTAGCATGTTGTACAATCAAGTCTAGACACGGGTTATTGAATACAGGAGGAATACACTGTAGTCCGTGTCGTCTTGCTGACGAATTTATCTTGGGACTCATCTGTTCTTGGAGTAAAGCAGAATGTTATCTCATCATTGGAGACTTCAACGCACAGCACATCAAGTGAATAGAGCTTACAGCTCCAGGTGAGGATTTCGATAGCGACCTTCTATCAATCATTATTCAGTGTGCTCTTTTTCAATACATCGCGAAACTGATACATTGACTTGGAACATGATCCGTCATTTCTGGACAATGTCTTCATTCGCCACTGTGAGGATGTCAAAGACATTCAGCACCTTCCTCCACTAGCGGATAGTGATCACGTTGTACTTTTACTTTAAGTTTTGGTACACAATTTGTATCTGCTTCACCCCGTCCCAACATCTGGCGAGTAAATATTCCGACAATCAGAGACTGTTCTATGTCGACTGACTGGTCGGTTGACGTGGATGGATCTATAGAAGACGAACGGGATAAGTCTAAGGTTACAATGGAGTCCATAACATCACCGTTTATCCTATGGTGAGCATATAGGCTATCACACTGCCCTCCATGAATTAATAAGGATACCCGGAAGCTGTTGACATACTTCTGTGACTTATTCTTGTCAACAGGACACGCATCATTTAAGTGTGAATATAAAAAAATCCGGAATATATGTAAAAAAGACCACAGATAAATCCCGTACTATTTACGAGTGACAGTTGGAATAAGATAGCTGTAATTGTCCGAAACGATTGTTTTCGTATGTTTAATGGGAGAAAAAACGTAGTGATGGTACTCCCCTGTACTGTTTCACGAAAATTTAGATTCATTAACGGAATCAGATCGGGCAAAGGCTGAGACTTTTTCAAACTATTTTAATGAACTCTATGTGATTAAAGAAGCTGCCCTTCCATTGATAATTAACATCAAACCTTGTGAGATACCGGGCCCTGACGGGTTACATCTACGGCTGTTGCCAGTCCTTGCCGACATTATTTCAAGACCACTCGCGATGCTCTTCAACATGCCTCTTTCACTCTCTCAACTCTCTAGAGATTGGAAAGACACTATAGTCAGTCCTTTATTTACGGATGGTCAGAGACAGATCGTATCTAACTACCGGACTGTCAGTCTAACCAGCATAGTCTTTAGGTTACTTGAAAAGATAATTCGGGTTATGTTGCTGGGTCACATAGTTTCACACAATCTGTTAACTCTCGAGCAACATAGGTTTCGTAACAAGCGTTCATGCTTGACTAACCTACTTATTGCGAGAGAGGATTGGACAGCAGCCCTAGATAATAGTCTGTCTGTCGATGTGACATTCATAGACTTTGGCAGGGCGTTTGACAAGGTTTCACACTTACGTCTTATACGGAAGCCCTAGAGCTTCGGAATAACAGGTGGTGTACAGGAATGTATAGGTAAGTTCTTATGTGACCGCTGACAGAGAGTGAGGGTTAATGGAACTCTATCCGGATGGAAGCCGGTTAAAAGTGATGTATCCCAAGGCTCCATCTTAGGTCTCCAACGTCTCCCTCTCCACGTTAATGAATTGCCGCTATTGTACAAGCCGTTAATATTATTGTTTGCGGATGATGTCAAAGTATGGAGAACAATAAGAAGTGAGGCTGATCATTTTGATTTCCAAGCTGACTTGGGCAAATTAGTTAGATGGACTCAAGGTTGGAGCTTAGAACTTCATTCTAGGGAGAGTGTGCTCATGCTGATCGGACACGGTAATAGTTACAAATATACTAGTGATGGTACATCTCTTCCATGAGTTCAGGAACATAAAGACTCGGAAGTAATGATAAGTCACGACTTGGAAACAACTTTGCATTGCAACGCAGCTGCTACCAAGGGGTTCCGTGCTTTGCGGTCACTTCGCCAAGCATCCAAATGCTTTGACGAGATGTTTCGAATTTTATATCCCACCTATATAAGACCACATTTAGAGTACTGTATCCAAGCAGCTGGCCCTTGTCTTATTAAGGATGCTAACTCACCTGAACGCTTTCAGCGTGTGTGAACTGAATTAGTGAAGGGTATTTCTAAACTCCCTTGCAATGAGCGCTTAAAACGCTTAAACTTTTCACTCCTGGTGACATTATATTGGCATTTCGTATTTTTAATTACAGTTGGGTGTTAATATGTCTTATCTTTTTGCTACCTCCAGCACTAATAGTCTCACAGGTCATGGCAAGAAGATTCGAAAACCATGATCTAACAAACTTGAAGTGAGATTCCGTTTTTCTTATCGAGTGGTCAATGACTGGAACGCCTTACCCGAACAAGTGGTATCAGCCCCATCAGTGAATATTTCCAAGGAGAAGCTGAACCTTCACTGTCAGAATTAACAAAGGTTCACCAATCTACTATCCTTATTAGTGAGGACTGAAAACTGAAGATTAATATTTTAATCTATTGATAAGTGTTAGTCTGTCTTCTGTCACATTATTCAATTCAAAACATTTGGCGCAAAATATGGGCTGCTGTGGACAATCGCAGGATACAAGTAGTTTATTTGTGGTTTATCGTACTCATACCTAGGTCGTTTGGAAGTAAGATAAAGTGTAGTAGCCGTGTAAACCTGTAATAATTGTTAGATGTAAAGTTGTTTCAGGGTGATACTAATTCCAACAAAACTACATTAAGACGATCAGAACATGGTTAGCATCAATTATTTTGTAGGAAATATACTGCTTTTTGTGACTACAATATGTGGAAACCAAAACTCATGGTGATCAAAAAATTATTACCTTAAGCTATTCACGTTTCGTTTTGTTGATCACTTAACTTTTCTGAAGAAAAATTCCGAAACTTTAAATAACAATTATAGCATCTCTGACTTCATTCATGGATGACTACAGTTTTTGTCAGTCAGTCGTATGAGATGTTTTATGTGACGGAAATTGACAGAAACCGTAATTAAGTCTAGTATTCATAGTTTTGTCTGTAAATTGACGGTCGTGTTTTTTACGTTTGCTTTACTTGCTTAAAAATGTCCCATACTCCTCAACTCATTTTATCACCAGTAAGTTGTTAATTGTGGTGAAGTCCAGAAGTTCTCATCCAAACGTGAATAATTTACTAACTTTCAGGTGCGAAAACATTACGTATCACTGGCCCTGTACGAAATAGGTAAGTCTTTTAACACTTGAAGTTTTTTATACATATCCGTAATGCAGTCATTTATTGTGCTTCTTCCAAAAAAGCATTCCTGTGTAAAGTCTGCGTGTCTTGAAGCTCACTTTTATTTCCCTACCATAACTCAGTTACACTTAGTGACTCCACTTGCAAATTCTCGTTTGCTCACCATGTGACTTTTGATTCTTGAATCCTGAGAGCATATTACAATAATTCTTTATTTTAGCCCAGTCAGAACCATCTACTTTGACTGAATTTGTCGTCAAAGTCTGTATTACTAACTGCAGATTGACAATACATTCGTCTCCCTCTGATACATTTTTTAAGATACTACCTTTCAACAATTTTCTAGGCTCTAAGTAATTTCAGACCTTGGTTGAACCAAATGATCGTTTAACCCTAAATTGAGTGGATGTTGAAGAAGATTTTTAGCTCAGGTGAATGATTTTGGTAACCTTTTGTTCTCCGAGCTGGATGGTTTGGTCAACCAAATGAGGGTTATAAACCTGTGTGAGGAATTAGAATTGTGATTTACAGTTGATGGTTAGGGTTAGGAATCAGATTTAAGGCTTTCATCACCAACTGACATCAGCTATAATGCCAAAGCGCTATTTAGCCAAATGGATGAGTGAACTCCTCACCGAAATCCAAAACCTTAGTTGGTTTCATTGGTTCGTCCCTAAATTATAGTCTCGCCAATTTTTTTTGATCTTCTGAACGTGGTCTCAAACAATTTTCTCTTAGGCACTGCTTTCATATTGTAGGTCATCGAGACCATCACTAATCTAGCTTTCCTTTCACGTATTCCAAGGAAAGATCTACAGTGCGGCGTACTGTAAAGTAACAACCGCCTTCATACACTAACAGCACTCAAGATTACTTCATTCACAGTCAAGCCTCTAGTTCTTACTTAGTGTTTCCATGCTTTATTTTTTTGACAGAACATGTACAGATATCCCTTGTTGTATATTGTTCTCAATATTCGTCGTTGGTTTCCTTATCGTTACTTTGTGGAGTAAGTTTCTACTTGCTTTTCGTCAATATTATTTTGTTGCTGCGACTAATTAGGACGTTTAAATGAACCGGTTTTTGTAGTGAAATTTAATTTGGATAATAAAATCTGTCTGATGGGAAATTCGTTTTATTGATAGAAGGGATATTGTTTATCGGTGACTGGGTCATAAGGTCTTAGTGAAGATTGTATACTGTTTGAACTTGTTTAGTTCTATACTAGGCTCATACTATTATTTCGCTTAATATATATATATATATATATATATATATATATATGACGTGTTTGTAGGCTCTAATTAATAAGAAGTCCAGTTGCTTTTACTGTCAAGTTTTCTCACAGGAACCTGTTTCAAACTTTTGGTGAATAATCAGACTCAAAATCATCATAAATAGATAAGTTCAAAAACAATTCTACATTAAGAGCTCGTTCAGCCATGCTAAAATATCACTTTTGACTATGGTGACGACATGAGTCATCTCGTGTGATGTATATTCGGAATTACATGTGTGAGGTTGTATGCATATGTTGTTTTTTAATTTCAGCGAACTAAGTCTTTGGGTACAACTTGAATCCCACCTATATGCGTTTATCATAAAACTGAAAGTGTGTTGTGGTTGAGAAATAGATTGTTCATTGCCATCTTGATTAAATGCAACTATAGATAAATCCGGTCATGGTGATCAACTAAGCAATTAGAATTACTTTGTTTTGTTTTCCATTTTGCTGATGGTACAAATCAAAGCAGTAGTTAATGGCCAAAATATTGGTTTGTATAACCAACGGTGATCATGATGCAGCTAACTTCACTTGGTGTCCCGTTTAGATTGAATATAGTGCTATTGTTGATTAATCCTCAAGCTTCATGAGCTTCCAAAGGTTTGGGAACATGTCTCAAGCATTGCTTGTATTTTCTCATTTCAGCTGTTCGGATTTTTCATTTTTGTCCTTGATAATTTCTGTGAAGCTCAGATTAGATTACCAGGAGGAAACCCTGGAGCTATTTCGATTTCAGTCTATATGCACAATTTTATGTGTCTTTTGTATGCGTGTTCCCTGATTTCTGTGAAACAGTTCGAATCTTAATGAATGGCTATTTTCTAGTCTACTGACTACATATCCGTATACATGAGGTTTTTGTTGTTGCTGTTGTAACTGGCTACAAATGCTTCACTGGGTTCATTTTTATTGGGAACAGTTCGACATCCCTAGTTGATCTACGTAACAGCGTGTTTCACAAAAGTCTAAAAGGATGTTATAGCTTATCTTATGTTTAATTACCTAATAAAGATATTTGTTGACCTTTCACACCAGGTTTTGCCATGGGAGACTTTAAACGTGTCATACATCCAACTAATTCTAAAGGACAAGTTTGCGGTCGTGATGTTCCGTAAGTTCTCAAACTTTAAACGTTTTTCTTTATGAATATGCAACTGCCACTTTTGAGGGGGCGGGTAGAAGTAACGTTCCCTATACGTTACAGATCACAATTTTTTGAATGTTTTTTTTAAATAAGTAATAAAATGGCAATAATTACTTATTTTGTAGTGATAACAAGTCGGAAAACTACATTTTTTACATAAAATAGCATCAGACTCAACTTACATTAGTTCTCACACTAAACTATTTACTTAGTGAACGACTAATAAAATGTGGGGAACAATATTTAGTTAGAGTTATGTGAATTAGTGATCTTAAATACTCATATTATCAATCTTGTAGAACGTAAGTAATGGACATAGTGGTGTGAAATGGATTCATCAGATTTCACGTGCTCTCAGTCCGTTGCATATACAATAATCTAGTAAAAATGATGTAGTTTTACTGATCTATTTTGTGAGGAAGTTCTGTACTATACCCTTAAAGTCACAAGTACTTTCCACAGTTACCACTTTGTCATTTGATTTGACTCTATCTACGTGAATTCAATGCATGTATATAGATAATTAGTGCATTTTCGGAAGGTTTAAAACATATAAATTGGATTAGATTCCATTCATCTTACAACATATAACGTTCTTGGTTTAGGAAGACGAAAATTATCAGAACTAAAAGAACCTAAAAGACATGAAAACGATTGTGTCACATTCCACTGTGTTTACCAATTTAAATGTGTGTGTGGTCACACATACATAGGGAGGAGCAATCGTGATCTCAACATTAGGGTGAGTGAACATGTACTCAAATGGCTGCGAAAACAAGTAAAATCAAGTGACCCAATAAGAGTAGAGGGTAAACATCCATCATCCTCTATTGCTAAGCATATAATTGAAACAGACCATAAGATCTAAACTCGACTTTTGTGGTATTGTATAAAAGTGCAAAAGGGCGTATACTAAGGTTTATTGAAGCCTTAGTCATACAAAAATTCAAACCCCCTTTGTGTATTCAAAAACAGTTTGTTCTCACCTTAAACCTACCCTGGTAATACTGGCTTCTTATCCAGAGTGACTAAGTTTCAAATTGTGTTCACATTATTATTATTATTACTCTTATTATTATCCTTGTCTCCTCTTACCCTCCATTCCTAGTCTAGTTGACCGTTTATTTTTATATATAAACGCTCTTAACAAATATTTGCGTGATCAGATTGTTCGAAATGTATTGCGCTAATATGTCACATAGTTCTGATAATCTTCGTCTTATTACATTATCGAAGTTTATCAAAGGGACTAATTGCTTTAAAGATCTTGGTTTAATTTCAACAAGATCAATGGATTCTTACAGCTTCCCAATTAGTAGATTATACTAACGTAATAATGAATTAAAGAACGTAAGTGTAGATTAACGAAACGACTAAATATTAGTCGCATTAGTTAGTTATACGCAATGTAGAACACGGGACTTGTGTATATCAATTCAAGTTGCCATACTTCATTAACACAATGAAATGAAATTATCAGGGCAAATCTCAGTATTAGAGTTAGTAACAGTATTGACGTGGATAGAAAAGACAGGGATTGAAGATAATACCAGATAAAGAAATAAAAATTATTAGGAAAAATAGTGATCTTGAGAACGGGCAGATAACAAAATGTGGAACATTCGGTAGTGATAGACAACATTGTATGCCCACTGTAAATGTTAAAGCAAAATCTACCACTATCCGAATTGTTGCAATGAAAGACATCAAGAATGTCTTTCCAGGTTAGGTGATTACAATGATAATTGGAAAACTGAGGAACAGTTTAGTTGGCCTGCAATTATTCTCCAACTTCCCACTGGTCATTGTTTCTATCTATTTTTATTATAAATATGCTTTCAGAGAAGTATCAATATTTGTCTGAAGACTCTGTGATGGTGTGAAGATGATCCTAAATAATTCTATCTTATTGCACTGAATAACAATACAAGATTGGTTGCGATATTGACTACAAACGTAAATGTTATTTCGAAACTGGTTTCCTTCTTTAGGGCAAAAGTTGACTACAATTTGTATTTTTCTGAGCATAGTCATTTTTTTGTATCTATTGTGGTTAGAATATTGTTCTCTACCCCGATTAATTCAAAACATTTTATTGCAGTCATATAATTGGTTATTCATACATTCCAAGGGTTAATTAACTTGAAGCCGAGAGGGCATGTTTTAATTATTACCTAGATAATATGAAAAGTAGCCATAAAAGCACCAAGCGTTTTGAGGATATCTTTACCAACTGACTTAAACGTCGTCATTAATCGTAGCGTAGCTGAGTCATTTCGAAGCTGAATTCATTTTTGTGTAAAATGTTCTATTTTTTTTCTTCATAGTTATTTTACATAAACTGCCATTTCTAAGGCAAAATGTAATTTATGCGAAAAGTATATGCTTAATCGTTTTAGTGCCTGATTTTTTGGTGTGTATCATTCGTATTAATCTATCCTTAAGTGTTTTGTTCACCTAGCCTTAAATGTATTGGAATATGTTTATAAATTTAGTCCGGCACATTTGCATACATTTCTTTACTTATGTATGTGTGGATTATTTGTGATGGCCTGATTGTGTTTTATGTTTATCGAATTTTATAAACTGAAATCTCAAATGTTAAGTATGTAAATATTGTATTTATCTACATATGACAATTAGTTTGAGTTTAGCTCGTTTATTATTAATTGAAGTCCTGAATCCACAATGCATAGCGTACTCACTGTTAAGTCGCTTTGAAAAAACAATCTAGATTTGCTAAATTTTTCAAGTGGTAAACCTTGTAATGAGTGAGAATCAAAGGTAATTCCTGGGTAAATAAACACTAATCAACTAAATTAGTTTATGGGATTTTAAAACAATTCTCGAAAGATCTACACCTATATTATTGTTAGCAATGTTAAACCTCCCCCCCCACGTGGAACGTATCATTAAGACAAGGATATCGAGTTAAGATGATTTTTGTTCAGTCAAGTAACAACGCATTTTCATTGTACTAATTTATTCAGAGTAAATTCTATTCTTCGACTTTAAATGTATCTTCAGTTATAATTAGTTATTTGGATTTAAATTCATTTTTCCTTTTATCGGTTAATTTACAGTGATCTTGTGTTCAGTAACAATTGCTCAATTAATGAAATTTTGTGAAAAATCATTATTAGATTGATTTATAATTGAATCAACTCGTACATAATTTAGTTCTTGGGTTTCTATTAAGAAAGCTTGTGTATAAACGGGACTTCATACTGTATGTAGTGGGTTGGCAAAAAGGGGACAAAACTAGTCTCATTCATCGTATTTAATTTGAAATTACTCATAATTGGCTTAGTTCAAGAAAGTATCACTAATAACTCTTGCTAACATTTTTTCTTAACACACAACAACAAAATCTTGCATATTGTACGAATTTAATCTGAATTTCTGAATGTCCTATGATTTAGTGTTTATTGGTACATGAAACTGTCAATCATCCAAATCATTTTTCACTAGTTTTTAAGACAGTATTCATTCGCTTTCAGATCTTATATTCTAAATTCAATTTATTAATAGATGTTCCATAAATAAGGTCACCTACTGATAGATTTATCAACTGTACTTTTTTCTTGCAGCTAATATTTTGTATTATTGAGAATGACAGCCTGTTTGTGACAACTGACTTCTATCATTTGAGAAATTAATTATGGTAGTGAAGATAATCCGCATATACTTAATTAATTGTAAACTATAAATAGTCACTTTTTAAACTCCATTTGAAATGACAGTTACAGAGTAAGCCTTTTCGATATTGTAACGATCGTATTCATTGAGCACATTACCATTAATCAGTAATAATTTTGCAAACACTTGTCTTGACCTCGCTAAAAATGTGAGTTTAATGTTCTGAACTTAGTGTTTCATATGTATAGCAAGAATAAAGCTCAGTGGTCTAAACCCTGTTCAGCACACACCAATTTGGGAATCCGAATTTTTTCAGTGCACTCATGATTTCATATAGATATCTATGTATGGTGGTCCTTTTATTTCGTGAAGTAAAGTGGTTATCACCACTTTCGAAAGTAAACGAAATACAACTTTCATCATTTAAACCCAAAGAAATCTAATCAAGTGCTTTATTTTTCTTTGTAGTTACTCATTGTTGAATGTATATTTGAGGTCACAAGTAAATTCACCATTAATACATTTATACTTTTCGTTCCTATTTTGTTTAGTGGTAAACCATATCTGTTCTTCTTTGATTTGGAAAGTTGTCTCAGACTGGGGCCAGCTTTAGTTGTTACAGGGTGCCCGACGCCTCAGGTATAGAAATTTTACGCGTTTTTAAGTATTTTGGTATATATATATATATATATATATATATATATATATATATGTAATTCATGTAACATCTGTCTCATGAACTCAAAAATGACGTTGTATCAAAACAACTTTTTGTTTATCCGGTAATTGTGGAATTCCACTCACTATATTCCAAGTTAAAGCCTATCCCTTGAGACCATTTTGGTGAACATGTTTTGTACAAAGTTAGTTTTCGTAACACCAACATCATTTTCAGAGCCATTCGAAGTTGGAAGCGCTATATAAGTATTTTGTTCTAGTTGCGGCATTGCTTACCCACAACCTCATACGGGATTAAACTCACGATTTTGTATTCAGCTGGTACTCATTTTCCAATCAACAGTAGGTGAGTGATATGATATTCAATAATTTGACTTAGCAGTGGGGTTTTAATTGATCGGCGATTGAGTGACCGACAAACTAACTTTTCATCGTCTGTGACTCTTTTCATGCTTATTTTGTATTCAGATTCTGTACACAAGCATATTAGAAAATGAATATTCTTTTGGCTAGCGGTTTTACATTCGATTTCCAATTATTTGGGGGCTTCAGTTAATGTTATTGTCTCTTGAGTAAACACAGTATGTTATTGGATTCGTTTATCAATTAAGGTTTTATTCGTTGATTTTGACAATCAAAAACCCGTTTTATCAATCATCAAAAACGTCCTCTACAACAATGTGTGACTAACATAACAACCAGAATCACGACTAGCTCTCATGTGACAAGTATGGCATAAGATAATTGAGTTATCAGTTGATAAAAAGAAGATGATATTCAGTGAGTAACTGAATCATAATCAGAACCGATGGATATTATTATAAATTCCCTTCTTACAACCTAGCTACTCTCATGACTTAGTATTCTTGGACATTACTTCACTCGACAAGTCCTCAAATCAGAATACGGTTGGACAGGAACGTACTTATATGCGGAATTAGGAATCACAATAAAATGTTAGTATATTTATAGTTTTTACATAAGAAGATTCTAGAGACTTCTCCGAATCTCCGCTAGCACTGATTGTTAAAAAATAGCCAATCAACGTGCCCCAACATAATCCTGCACGAAACATGCTGTAATCCAATCTAGATCCCGCTACAGAGATCGCCCTTTATTTTGGCATGAATAGTTAGTTAACAATAACAAAGTTTTGTTTGTATTACCTACATACCTATCTCATTTTTATTTACATTAATATTTTTAGGTCTGTGTAGCGTCGTGTCCAAAATATTACTGGTCTTGGAAAGGTCCCTTTGATCAAAAACCCCAATATGTTAGGAGTTTAATGATATGTCTAGGGGGTGTAGATGCGAATGACCCTAAATTTGCCAGCCAGGTAAATTATTCCATTCTCTCACACTTTGGCTGATAAATATTCTTTATTATGCAAAGAGTTCAGCGAACAAATTTCTTTTAGCAAGTTCATTTTCAAAAGCTGTATTTAAGTCTAGTTACTATTTATATTTAATAATGAATTTTAATCATATAACTTCTAAGATCTTCATTCTGATTTTTTGTGGTTCAGATAAAAATTAAAGTTCAAAAGTTACTTAAACCGTTCACTAAGTTGATAGCTGATAAACTTATAAATAAAATGAATTACTTTTTATGTCATTAGAAGAATTTCATTGGTCTATATATTCTGATCCAAATCAATCTACTTGAACTATTTGAACATCGTTTATAGTGGTCTTGATAGTTTTTGGACAGTATTTTCTTTTGTTAGTCTACACTTCATCACTTATTGCGTAACTTTCAATGCTTTAAAATATTTTAGATCACAATTAATATGATTTAAATTTGTTAACTCGGAAATGGTGACCTGTTTAAAAATTACATCATAGAACATCCTAATCAGTATCAAAAGTTAGAAATTTAACTGTGACCTATACAGCCTTATATAAATGTAGAATTTTGTGTATAAAGTATTATTATTATTCATATTGTTAGTCATAAAATATGTTGGTTGAGAAAATTTAAGCGATAATTGTGCAGTTTATCCATGTCATTTAATTTCTCATAAATATATTTAATAATGTTTTACATTGTGTTGTTTTAGAGTATTGACCAATTAGTACAAGACAAACAATGTGCCCCATATGTATATCATTCTAGATCAAGTTAGTTTTAAAAATTATATCTTTATTTTATAACATGGAATTTGAAATGGTTAAACATGAGCATGATAAAATCCGTTTTGTTTCTGTATTATTATAATTATCTACTTTGAGTTCTGATGTTTCTTCATCGCTACTAGATATATCGTTTTGTAGTTTAATTTTTATTTATTAAATTATTTGATTGTATTCTATAAAAGTGCTTGGTCGGTGCATCCCAAGTCAAGTGTCTCGGTTAATGGGAAATGGAACTGGTCAAGTTCGTGATGAAACTGGTAAACGTATACATTTAATGAATGCCGAAAATCAAGAGGTGAATGGTATGGAAGTAGTGAAAAGTCGGAAGTAAGTAACTTTCCAATAGGTTGTTTGGGCCTTCTCAAAATCATTCCCACTTTTATCTAAGTGTAATTACGTCAAAAACTCCATTTAAACCCATCACACTATAAATGTATTTTAATTTTATGATTGGTGAACCTACAGGGTACGATTATACGGCGCCGCGGTTGAGTATAGAATTGTATATTGATATGTCTGGTGTACCGTATATACGTTCGATTTTCTCACTATTTAGATAATGATTCAGTTTTCAGTAAATTAAGAATTAATGTCTTTTGTTTTGTTTAAACATGACCTTCATCATATCTTCATTATTTTAGAAACTAAATTTTTCAAGTCAACGCTGTACCGGATACAAACTATCTGCACTCTAATCACCATTGTAGTCTCTTTATAATTGTTATATGGAAATATCTGAAGCGATTTCACACTTGTCATATCTGTCAATGTGAAGTTGAACTTATCATCTGACAATTTAAAGTTTGTTTGACTCTTCGAAAAAATCTATTGTCCTGTCGAAGTATTTATTGTATATGCAGATTTTAACATCGCTTATTTTAGTGGCTCCAATTGTAGTCTCGTCAAAAATAGTAATGATGTTGTCCATGATAAACGAGAATCTCAGACTTGAATAACTTTGTGGGTTGTAAGCGGTATTGTGTACAACCGCTTGTTGCGCCAATTCTAGAACTTCAATAACCGAGAAGCGGCAACACTAACGATGTCTTTTATAGCATGTATCTGTTGCCACAATATACATGCATTGTATTGTGTTGTACATTTAACGTGTCACAATGTCTCTTCTTTCCTTATGATGAGGGTTTGTAAGTTACTAATATAAGTTATTAATTGTTTACAACTTTGTCACAGGTTTAAAATTAATTCCACTTCGTGAAATTTCTAAAGTTGAATGTCATATTGTTTAAATTGAGTTGTGAAAAGAGTGAACACGCCATTCATTTTTTTCATTTGTAGTTTGTAAATATTATAACATACTAGTTACGACTTTTATATACGCTATCTATGAGTAGCTGCAAATACTATACTATTAATATTAACTTGAATTTTTTGTTAACTGAAATGTACCTTAAAATTCCATTCTCATCGATTGTTGTTTTCTAGAAAATATTTTTCTTAAGAATATTCTTCTTTAAGCTTTATGATAGTACTGAGTATATCCAACTAAGAAATAACTTTGCATCATGACCCTACATTAATGTGTGTAGTTTTGATAGTAAAATGCGCTCTAATTTAGACATAATAAGTTATTACTGCTTCAGATTAAAAGTTACCTTGAAAACGAAAAAAAAATTACGAAAGTAATTTACAAGATGAAATATCTCATCTCTTTGATGATAGAAAAACGTTAAATTATTTACTATTAAGTACTATTAACTATCGTTACTATTTCCACTTCCCTTGATTTTTGGATATTTCTTTTTCTGTGCTCTTTAAAAGTGTAACAACGTAACCCAATATCATTTTATGCAATGTTCTGTGTTATTCATTCCATTTCGTTCGACGATCTGCTATATAGTACTGCTGACATGCATATGGTGTAATTTGTCAAGTCTTTCCTTATGCTATCCAGCTACTCTGTTTGCTTAGTGTTTTTGAGTCACAACCTTGACTTGTTCCTAAAATTACAACAAGGCTTGGGCAAGTACGTAATTATTTTCCAAATGAGCCAAGTTGAATGGAAGTGAATCACAGTAAGAAAAACGTTACTATTTATATAATGTTACACGAGGAGATCCTAGAATCTTCTCCAATTTCCTTGAGCTCTGATTTGGTAGAAGTAGGCCACTCTTTGTGCTCCAATATAATCCCGGACAGAACATGTTTTAATCCAATCTATGTTCTGCCAACAATACTTGAGGAAATTAAAAGAATATATATAGCTGTCGAGCTAACAACTTTAGTCGTATTTATCCAGAGACCAATATAAGTGTATTATATTTTCTGTCTAGTTATGTATGTCACATATATTCAAACTAATTACCCTAAAGGTTCATATTATTTAATTTAGTCCGGTTCTATATGTTCATGAATATTTGGGAAAGTAAGAATGCTCTTAATCATTTTGATATTTAGTTTGTTTGTTCGTTGGTTTATTTCTCCAGAAAGCTTTGTTCCTTTGGTGTTTCTACTGCCTTGTGTTTCCCCAAGCTGTTGTTCGGTGATTATGTAAGATTTTACCCAGCTTAAGATTGTTTCTTCATGCTACAGAAAATCCCAATTTTACTAATAGCTTGCAAACTCTGCAAGTGGTCCAAGAAATTAATTTTAAAACCATTGATTACTGTACATTTCTTTTTGAACTCTTTTGCCACTATTTGATTACACGAAATCAGTGGGTTTTAAGCACTTGTTAATTGTTTATTTTGGAGGGAAATAAAATTCGACTGATTATTATTATTATTAGACAATAGTTTAAAATGCGCTTGCATACACAGAAAAACACAGTGATTATAGTGCGGTAAAAATGAAATTCTTGAAAGCGAGCATTTCAAAATAGACATATTTACTGAATGTAATGATGCTCGTTGTTGTGGACAAGCTTGAGTAGTCGTAAAAGACTACAGACTTACTTTAAGACTGGTATCTTGAAAACATTTTCCATGTATTACTTTGTACAGCGTAACAAATTGGGCTATAACATGGCTTTTTTAAACAAGATGCTTCTGTAAAAGTGATACGCAATATTATTGGATCTGTCAAGCTGAAGAAAGGATTTTCTGTTCTTTATTATCATATATAAAACATACATAGCATAAAGTTAAATTCTCCCATTAATGTTGCTAGACGATTTCACATTTTATAATTGTCAAAATTAATATTTCAAAAAGTGGCTAGGTTTATGTCAGAATCCATCGTTTGAATATCATACCATATGAATTAAGGATTGTAAAATAAATTAGAATCGTTAGTATTAGGATAACTAATACAAATTGTTGACTTGATTTAGTTGATACGTTAAATGAAATTGTGAGATAAATAATGATCTGAATAAGTATGGTTCCGGTTTGTTCTGATCATGAATCTTACTATTTTACTAAGCTAAGTCAAGTTAATACTACATATTAGTTATGTTATGATTTTTAAACAATATATTTTGCTTTTAACCTGACCATATTTTAGACTATATAATTGTAGGACCTGAAGAGAATTAATTAAAGTATTCTTTGTTCATATATTAGTGTTTTAATATCTAGGTTTGATAATAAAATATGCGCTAATTAAATAATACTTACTTACTTACTTACTTACTTACGCCTGTTACTCCCAATGGAGCATAGGCCGCCGACCAGCATTCTCCAACCCACTCTGTCCTGGGCCTTATTTTCAAGTTCCATCCAATTCTTGTTCATTTTTCTCATATCTATCTCCATTTCTCGGCGTAATGTATTCTTTGGTCTTCCTCTCTTCCTTCGACCTTGAGGATTCCATGTGAGGGCTTGTCTTGTGGCGTAGTTCGGTGCTTTCCTCAATGTGTGTCCTATCCACTTCCAGCACTTCTTCCTGATTTCTTCCTCCACTGGGATCTGATTTGTTCTCTCCCACAGTAGGTTGTTGCTAATAGTGTCCGGCCAACGGATCCGAAGTATTTTGCGTAGACAACTGTTAATAAACACCTGTATATTTTGGACGATGGATTTCGTAGTTTTCCAGGTTTCCGCCCCATACAGTAGAACTGTCTTGACATTTGTATTGAAAATTCTGACTTTGGTGTTGGTTGCCAATTGTTTTGAGTCCCAGATATTCTTCAGTTGTAAATATGCTGCTCTTGCTTTCCCAATCCGTGCCTTCACATCTGCATCAGATCCACCGTGTTCATCGATGATACTGCCCAAATATGTAAAGGTTTTTACATCTTCCAAAGCTTCTCCGTCAATTGTGATTGGATTGGTACATGCTGTGTTGTATCGAAGAATCTTGCTTTTCCCTTTGTGTATATTGAGACCTATTGCTGCTGAGGCTGCAGCTACACTGGTTGTCTTTTCCTGCATTTGTTGTTGCGTATGCGATAGAATAGCCAGATCATCTGCGAAGTCTAGATCATCCAATTGCATCCTAGCTATCCACTGTATCCCGTGCTTCCCTTCAGATGTTGATGTCTTCATGATCCAGTCGATCACCAGGAGAAAGAGAAAGGGTGAGAGTAAGCAACCTTGCCTGACACCGGTCTTTACTTCGAACGACTTTGTCAACTGTCCTCCCTGAACGATCTTGCAGTTTAATCCATCATAGGAATTCTGTATGATATTGATTATCTTCCGAGGCACGCCGTAGTGTCGAAGAAGCTTCCATAGTGTTTTTCTGTCCACGCTATCAAGTGCTTTTTCGTAGTCGATGAAGTTGATATAGAGTGATGAATTCCATTCAATTGATTGTTCCACAATGATCCGTAGAGTTGCGATTTGGTCTGTGCACGATCTATCCTTACGGAATCCTGCCTGTTGGTCTCGAATTTGGGCGTCTACGGAGTCCTTCATCCTGTTTAACAATACCCTGTTGAAGACTTTTCCCGGTATTGAAAGAAGAGTGATTCCCCTGTAGTTGTCACAGTTGCTGAGATCGCCTTTCTTTGGTATTTTGACTAGAAGTCCTTCTTTCCAGTCTTTTGGTACCTGTTCCTCATCCCAGGTCTTTTTGAAGAGAGTTTGGAGTATCCTTGCAGTTGCCGCTACGTCTGCTTTCAGTGCCTCTGCTGGAATGCTGTCTAGTCCTGCTGCTTTGCCACTCTTGATTTGTCTGATAGCCATGCTGATTTCTTCAATTGTCGGTGCGCCAACATCAATTGGGAGGTCCGTGAGTGCTGCTTCGATGTTGGGTGGGTTCAGTGGGGCTGGTCGATTCAAGAGTTCTTTGAAGTGTTCTACCCACCTGTTTCGTTGTTCTTCAATGTTGGTGATTATCTTGCCTTCCTTGCTTTTCACTGGTCGTTCTGGTTTACGGTGATTTCCGGAGAGTTTCTTTGTTGTGTCATACAGTTGTCTCATGTTTCCTTCTCTCGCAGCCTTTTCCGCCGTCAATGCCAAATCTTCGACATATTTACGTTTGTCAGTTCTGATGCTCCTTTTCACTTGCTTGTTTACTTCTGTGTATTCAGCCTGTGCCTTGACTTTTTCTGCTCTTGTTCGACTGGTATTGATTGCTGCTTTCTTGTTCCTCCTTTCTTGAATCTTATCCAGTGTATCGACCGTGATCCAATCCTTGTGATGGTGCTTCTTTTGGCCCAGAACCTCATGACATGTTGAAGTGATTGCCTCTTTTATCTTTTTCCAGTTGCTCTCCATAGTAGTTTCTTCTCCATTGAGTAGATCATGAAAGGCCTGGAACTTATTGCTGAGGGTTATCTTGAATTTGTTGAGTTTGTCATTATCCGGAAGAAGAGCCGTATTAAACTATTGTGATATTGTCCTCCCCGTTGTCCAGTGCCTCTTGAGTTTCAATTTCATCTTGGCGACCAGCAAGTGATGATCTGATGCTATATCAGCTCCTCTCTTTGTTCTCACGTCCTCCATCGTCCTCCTGAACTTTTTGTTGATGCAGAGATGGTCGATTTGGTTCTGTGTGGTGTGATCCGGTGAAGTCGATGTGGTTTTGTGTATGCGTTTATGTGGGAATATAGTGCCGCCTATGACCAGTTTATTGAAGGCACATAGATTTGCAAATCTCTCACCATTTTCGTTCCTTTCTCCCAGTCCGTGTCGTCCCATGATCTCTTCATATCCGGTGTTGTCAATTCCAACCTTGGCATTTAGGTCTCCCATCAGAATAGTCAGGTCTTTTGTTGGGCACTTCTCGACGATTGACTGCAGCCTATCGTAGAATTGATCTTTAGCGTCTTCATTGTAGTCATTGGTAGGCGCGTAGCATTGGATGACGTTCATTGTAATCCCCGTTTTCTTTGTTTTGAAGGAGGCTTTGATGATCCTTGGTCCATGAGATTCCCATCCTATAAGTGCATTTTGTGCTTGTTTGGACAGCATCAATGCAACTCCTTGTGTATGTGGGGCATTTTCTTGTTCATGTCCGGAGTATAACAGCAGCTCCCCTTAAGCTAGTCGTTGTTGTCCAACTTGCGTCCAATGTGTTTCACTGATCCCAAGCTCCTCTAAATTGTATCTCCTCATTTCTGCAGCAATTTGGAAAACTCTCCCAGTCTCCCACATTGTGCGAGCATTCCATGTACCTAAATAAATGGTTGCTCTGGTTGTCAGAAGGGGCATCGGCCTCGTGACTTCCGAAGAAACTCGGCTTTCATCATGAGGCGTCATAATTCTTCTAAACGAAGACATCCTGACTCCCAGGGCAGAGTTTAAATGGTTTGAATAATTTTTTCTGGTTAGCGTTTTTTTAGCGAGTTAGTTTTCTACGGGATGAGGTCGCTAACCCCATGCCCAACCCTCCTCCTTTATCCGGGCTTGGGACCGGCAGTAGCCCCCGGAAAGGGACTCCAGGCGGAGTTAATTAAATAATAACCAGTAAGTTATTACTACTTTAGGTTAAAGGTTACCGTTAAAAATACAAAAAATTACTTTTAAAAGTAATTTACAAGATGAATTATCTCATCACTTTTTACATTTGGAAAATAAAAAAAACTTGGAATTGTGCAGTGTTTGGATTTCACCTTTTTGTTTTATTACTTATTCTTATCAAATAAGTTGAATAACTGTGGTCACTACACATTTCATCCACGGATTATGAGTACAAGTTTATTTCCTTCAATTACATATCTAGTATTTAAAAAAAAATTCGCTGTTTTCGTTCTTCGGTGGTAAATAAATTTTTCGTCTACAGATACAGCGTTTAATCTACTAAAGTTTGAATAAAATCAATCATATTACTGCACTATAAATTGCTATCCTTTAATTTCTTAATAACCAAAAATTGTACTTCTAATGCCACTACAATGACGAAGGCTAATAATCCAATATTTATAATTGTAAATTTATAGCAAAATGATCACTAAAATTTATTCTGTTATGATTTTATGTCCAGCTTTCGATCACGTGACTTATCCACCAATCAGAATACGGCTTATACAAATATTCGCACTATGACAAAACCAATGACGTTCAACCGGTTTGAGCAGTCTAGCGTCCTTATTGGGTCCTATGTCCTTCTAGCCCGTCCTCTTGAGTCCAGAACACAACACCAGCTTCCGCAATATGAATCGAATCATTTATTTCAGACATACTCGGTTTATATACCAATCAGACAGACCACAACGTACCATAAAATAGAAAATAACATGTGTACACAAATAAGCCAAAAAGTGGCTTTGAACGTGGGAGACAGTAATTAATAAACTGAGTATAACATGGGAACAGTAAATCGTACAATAATAATCTTTAAGTCAAAATGAAGCTTATAATAAGGGGAATTTAGATATATACAATCTAGTTACTGAATAATTATACCATAAGAATATATAGATAATATTAGTCCGTTAATAGGTTTCAGAAGTTACTCGTAACGTAATCTTCTCCAGGACAGAACATATTCATCATATTTGAATTGGTTTGGGGATTACCCTCGAAAGTTTTGATCCTTCTCACATAACTTGTCACTTGAACTACTAAGTGTGTTTCTTTATTTATCTTATTTCTAATAATATCTGAAAATCAAGACAACTAACTGCTATATTCTGTTACTATTAGTATTCACAATTAAATGTGTTAGCATCAAGTATTTTCCATATGTATACTATTATCTTTTTCAAATAGCATACTAACATTGGTGATGCATGATTTATTACTTTTAATCTTCGTTTATACTTTTCCGAGTCAATTGTTATACTTCCATTTTAAAAATATTTACGTCGTGCTATCTAACTTTCCTATGATTATTAATGTGCTCACATATTTATTAATTATCATAATGCGAAATGGATTGTATACGGAGTTCTTTTGAAAAAAAAGTGAATTATAATTGAATTTAATCGGTTAGGAACGTTCGGATTCAATATATATATTGTGTTTGTATGTAATCACGATACCCGTGATATGATATTATGCATGCAGTCTCACATTAAACCGAGTATTTCTACTACAACTTTAAGCACATATCCTTTGTCTGAGTGTTACATCTATAGATTTATGTTGAGTTAGTTATTGACTACATCCTGTTTTTTATTGTTCGACTGTATTCTCAATATTTCTTGTTTATTTTCAGATTGGTGCTGGAATTTACTACATTCTTTGAAAAAGTTGTTGCTGATCTAAGCCAAACCTGGCATGTTATATTAGTGTAAGCATCACTGTTTTGATTTAATTACTAGTTTTCTAGGTAGGTTTTCTTATGATTTATCTGCTAATATAGGAATCCGGATACTTTCAGGCTTTTCTTTATGTTCACTAGATCTTAATTGACTGTTCCGTAGAATTGGAAAGTATCACAAAACCTCTTATCACATGTATCACATATATAGGCACTTTTCAGGATCATTATGATGACTAAGAAGAAGCCCAAGAACAGTTAGATTGCATCCTAAGATCAGTCATTGACGTTATTTATTTTTTGAGCTTACCTTTTCGGAAGATAGAGTCTTTTTTGTGGTAGTTTACAATATTTCTATAATTTAGGCACTAGTGTAATATCGGTTCTAGTAGCCTATATGGATCCCTTCATTTTCTTCAAAATCTTGAATGTGGTGTTTTTACCTTCCATTTCAATTGCTTTTTAACTGTTTCTTTATTTTGTTCATTCAGCATAATTAAATCTACTCTTGTTGATTTCTCGTTGTTGTGTTTACTGGAAATGATGGTAAATCAGTTGATGAGGTTATGAATCCTCATCGACTGAGATGGTTGGGCCACGTGTTGCATATGCCTGAACACCGATTACCACAACGCGCAATGCTAACTGGTGTCAGGGATAATTGGAAGAAAGTTAGGGGCGGCCAAACCAAAACGTGGCATCAGTGCTTGAAGTCACTAACTTCTAGTCTGAGCCATGTTGGTAGGTGCAGACTGCCTGGTTGGGGTCCGCGTGACTATCGTGACCAATGGTTGGAGACTCTTGGTGACATGGCTCAGAATCGATCACAATGGCGTCGGCGTATACACTCTCTTTCTTCCTTTAAACTAAGAGATTAAAACCACGTTGTATCATTCTTTCTACGAACTAATTCTTTCTTCCTGTACTATCTCCTTATATGCAATCTTTCTTCTACATATTACCACCACTGGATTAACTACTTCTATGAATCCGGTGTTTATCTTGTTGTGCAAATGCGGTATGGCAACTTGGACCGATGCATATATATGCCTGGTCCTACGTTGCAGCTGACTGATTGGAAATCTGACAAGTTAGTCTGGGAAACATCTGTGTTTGGTCTCACGTATTTTTGTTCCTGTCAATATGTTTACCGATTTTCTGTTATTGATTTTCCGAATTTGTGAACCTATTCATCGCTTTCTCTCCAGAACTTATTATGACTCGTTTGATTGCAGTATTATGAATTAGATATCATCGTTCTACTTTGTTTATTAAGATACTATTTTCATAATAATGGCCCCCGAATTCCCTGGTACGGCCGAGAATGGGGAGAGTCCGCTCTCCCTCTCGAAATGCTCTCACATGGCCACGCGTATACAGCCTCTGCCAGGGAAGTCCTACTCACTGCCTTCTCGTGGCGGGGGTGTTGTTTACGAAAATGAGAGGACGAAAAGCGAATGTCCGGCGCTTTAACCGGATCCCAAATCAATGGTGCACATGGGCTCCAATATCTTGAAGGAACAAATGGCGTATGAACCAATCGTTGGTCACCAGCTACCATGGGACTGCATCTCCTCACGATGCTCCACTGTCTTGTGGGTCAGACGTTCAGGTCGAAGGCTCGGGGTGTGGCCTTCTAAGGAAACTACCTGCTTCGGTTTGGGCACCCGAGCAGTATCACAGCCCTCACACGAATCAATTGAGATTCGTGTGGCGCATATGTATTTGGTGCCTCCATGTACCAATACCTATGTGTTAAAATAAATAAATATAATAATAAATAATGCAGTAGAAATGAAAGGATTTTTTCCATGTACAGAATTATGATGGAGTAATTTAATGTGTATGGCTTCGTATGGGTACATGAGTCGCTATCTGGACCTATTAGCTATGTGGATAACGCGATGGCGTTTGAAGCTAAGAGTGCTGTGTTTGATTCTTCAAAGTGAACATCAACTCCGGGATGCAGGCACATTCATCTGAGTTCCAAATAAGATTACAAGATAAGTTAAGATAGCAAGTTATTTTCTAAACATGAGGCCAAACTCATGTTGGAGTCTACTTTGGTTAAATAAATATCTATTCACTCATAGTAATTAATATATCAAATTACTTGAATTTCCAACGTGCAGTTTAAATTTAAAGATGATTTCTACAGACAAATTTTGTTACAATAAGATCTTCGTTGGGTCTTCGAACAGAATTTTTTAGTCAACCAGGGTAACAATAACCTTAGAAACACAATCAGTAAATTTTAGTTTTCTGAGAGATATGCAGATGAAACCTCAATTAAATATTACAAGAGTTCAAGAATTACCACTATTCGACCACGTTCATAATAAAATCGGAGTTGATGTTAGAAATTCATTTTTTTTGTTATTTTATTGAAACGAAGACCAGACGACGATCTATATACAAAAAGCCAACCTGGTACAGGAATTATACGAACTTTCAGGGTTGGGTGCCGTTGAGCAGGAAGGGAAATTTAATCCATTCTCTATCCTCAAGAGCCAAACGAGTATGCTCAGAGGACAATTAACGATGAGCTGGATAAAATTTGACAAACACTTTTGGAGAATGGTTTTCTGCCCAGGATCATTAATAGTAGCCTGAAATCAAAACGTCAAATTGAAAGTACTCTCACTGTACCGAGAAAAGTTTTACTGATGAACATTGAACTCGGGGGAGATACGACTACAGATATATTTTAGAACAGAATGTTTAGATCCCCGAGAAAAATATCTGATTTATCGGACCTCCGAATTCTTTTTCATAGTAAGAAACTAATTCAGGGAAGTGTCAAGGGTAAAATGCCGTTTTGAGCCACTTCAGTGGGCACCCGGGCAGTATCACAGCTCTCACACAAATCAATGGTAACTGTTACTTGGCCTTATTGTTATTGCGTGGTGCATATGTATTTGGTGCCCCCTTGTAGTAATGTTTATGTGTTCAAATAAATAATAAAATAATTACTCGCTTTTGTGGTACAGGTAATGTTGTCTGTACAACCCTATACCTTTTAAACGAATATCCGAGCACTACCATACATGACTTTAAAGGGGAACGCAAATTAATTGACAGCTCAATCGTTGAATACGTGGTCAACTCGAGTCATATACCACCAAGATCATCTACAGAGTTATAAGAACTGGCCTAGAGAAGTTTTTGATGAGCAGTTTGTGGAAAGCTGAAGCTAAATCAATCTATAATTTGAAGCCCAACCTCTCTGTACAAAAAACTATACTCGACCCTTTATTCTTCCATGGTCTTAATGCTCCTTCTAATCTTACAAACTGTAAGTAGTCATTATTATTTTAGTCCTCACCTTTTTTGTAAAGTCGACAGTTGGTTTTGGCATTTATTATTTAGACTATTAATTCTTATTACTTCCGAACTCTTACGCAACCTTATTTCTTAATAATTTTGGTTACTTTTCTAAATGATACAACACCCATTTTTTCACTACCTGGAAAACTTTCAATAATTTTAATTACTGTGAAATAACATTCATTTGTAGATTTATTTTATTTAATACTTGATATTTTTTGACAATTTTTGAATACTTTATTATGCTACTACGCAACACGACTTCATCGTCATGGACTTTTACATCCAATACTTAAATACGTTTGACTATCGTTGATAATTTTTTAACACTCCTCTTTTTTACAATAAACTACTTACTATAAAAATGACTTATACAAACGATTGCACGGCTTAAGAAAACGATATCGGCGGAAAGAAAATTTTCTTCACTGAAATATCTCCAAAAGGCATTTATTTTTTTAAATGACATTCGATAACTATTTACATTTGTCCTTAGTGTAATTATATTGTGAAATTATTATCATGAAACTGTGATGTACTTTGTGTGTTTGTATGTATGGATTGGTTTTTCTTTCTGGGATGTGCACTTTGTTTTAAAAGAAAACTAAACAACTGATATAGTACACTCAGATTAGCGAACACTTTTGTAGCATAATTTATGCGTACAATGTCTTCGTTTTTCTTCTTTAGTTTCTTATGACCGATCATCTTCAGTGAAATAGTTCGTGTTTAATGATGAAACGTGCCATGTAATTAGTGAAACAAAATATGATAATCCATGCATACGTTGAATATATTAGTATATTTTATTAATCCAACGTTAAACATGATCATATTACAATATTCCTTAGTTGCGAATTTTTCCTAGGTCGTCCGTTTTCTTGTAAATTTCCGTCACATCTTTCTTACCTAAAACACAAGAGTTTTTAATGTTTAGCTTAACGACCTTTTATTCACCCTTTTATGATGCATTATTTCTCACCATCGAGTTGTTTTAAGATTCTGCCCTATCAGTAAACAAGTTTCTTCTACCTTTGGCTAAGTTTATAATTAATTACTGAGTAGTGATCGGAATCATACGTGTCCAGTTCCTTGGTGCTGATCGTATTCTTTCGATCAAGTTGGAGTGATCACTTCTTTGAGTGAATCGACATTGTGCAAAATGTCGAGATGTTAGGTGGTTAGGGGTAGTTGACAGGAGACTGAATATAAGTTTCTTGTCAGTTACCACTCGTCATCAAGGTCCATCTGCAATCTTGAAGGATTTAATTCTTCTTGTAGGATATGAACCTGCGTACCTGAACAAGCATGACATTCGTCACTACCTAGTGATCAGTCAGCTATAAATATTTTTGTCCTATAAGATATGGTATAACTAAGTAGTTGTGTCCATGATTGCAAGTCTTGGTGATCCGGGTTCAAATCCCACAGGTGGGATTTATTCCCTGAATATTACTGGTGCTCCTTAGCACGAAACATCGATCTAAAGTTTTTTACCAACCACCTTCCACCTATTAATAAAACTAAGTATTTGAGATAAGTAAAAACTGCAGTTACTCCCTTAAAATCATTCTCAAGGCTTGATTTTTGATAGAATACCTGAGCTTACTTTGTATTGTTACCTGTTTAATACCATTTTACTCAATCAAATCCGTCAAATAAATTCTGTACAAACGTGATCCTTAAGTACAGTACTTGTAAGCCAAAAAATCTTATAATTCGTTTATGTAATTGACCATAGATTAATTATATTAGGCACATTGAGTTTGAGAACAACAGTTTATAACAATAGAATGTGAATTAATAAACGGCTTTTATAGTTACGATGTTAAACACAGTTTCCAATGTGTTTTTTAAAAAAAATCATTTACCTGTTAATATTTATTTTGTTAGTGTGTTTTTGATGATTTTTCTTGTTTCTTTTGGTAATTTAAGATTTCGTCGCATACACATTTCTCACACATTAAATAAACTTTATTTACCTTGTTTATGATTTTCTTTCTAGATGTATTTCAGTATCTGTGGTGTTGTCATTCTGTTGGATCGTTTTATTACGATGTTGTGCATCAGTTATGGTTTGGACTACATTAGTTCTATTTGTCACCCTGTTTTCTTTTGGTAATTATTGTTTTAGGTTTAAATAAATAATTTTTGTCATACTCTTTTGTCTAGTTATTCTTATTTATAAAAAAGAGACAGTATTTTCATATTTGTTCTTTTTAATTTAAAAAATAATTATCTAGGTTAAAATTTAATTAATTCGTTCTTAGTAGTGATTGTTTAGTTAAATAATGATCATTATATAATCAGTTAAAAGGTTTTGTTTGTATGTCAACAACTGAAGGCTTTAGATTCTGCTGTTTTTGTCAAACTCGTGAATGTAAAATGATATCACTTGAAAATTCCCAGATTAATTCGTATTTATTAAAGTCCTTATGCCATGTGTTCATCTTTAAACATCATCTGCATTTCTTGTCGGTTAGTTAGTTAGTTAGTTAGTTATCACGAAAGTAATTTTGGCGTATGATCGCTGTTTTTACTCGATTTATACATATATATATATATATATATATATATATATATATATATATATATATATATATATATATATATCATGAAATTAGATCGATGTACTTGTATATAATCAATTTTGTTTCGATTGATTTCACAATACCTCAAAGTATTATTACTGGTAAAGAAATAATTCGTGATATCGATTTCATACTTTTTATACCCACTCTAATTATTATTATTATTAAAATTATTATTTGCTTATGCACATTATTTATCTAGTTCCGAAATAAACTCATGTTTCTGTCGGTGAAATGATAATGGCATATTATCACTTATTTTATGTCTATATTCTCGGTATTCAACTACTTTTGTTATTTTTACGTTGTAAAATTATACCTTTACCAAATTATTCATTGACAAATAAATAGTTTAAATATTGTATAACAAATATTAAATAATTTCAATATATATATATATATATATATATATATATATATATATATATATATATATATATATATATATACTGCGTTTACATTTGAGTCGATATGTTCAAAAAAGAAACAGATTTTTGTAATTACCATTACAAGATTCTTTTCTTGATATGATTGGTCTCTTTATATATAAATAAAATTACCCATTCATATAACTTATTAGTGAAAATATTTAACTTGTAAACATTAAGATGTAACCATTCACATTATTTTCTTAACTTTTTCAAATAATTCAAAATCGAATACACAAAATATTCATTTAGTTTCATCTTAAATTGTACTTTTAATGGATTGTTTTTTGTTCTCTTTCATTATATTATTGTAATTATGGAGTTTCTCAAACAATCATTAAAAAGTTGTCATTTTTTAGTTTTTATCATTGATTTTTTTATTTTTAGGTACTGGGTTTTGTTTTTATAGATGGAGTGTATTACGTAAAACACCTGAAGGTTCTAATGACCTTGAATTCTCTTTAGATGTTGCTTCGTATTTCCGTTTAGCATCCACATGGCTTGCATTAGGTTAGTTATATATTTTATAGAATGTTGATTTTTTTTATTTTCTTGAGTATGTGAGGGACTTTAACCACCGTTTTCAGGGCATTTTACAAATTCGGTCAGCACTCATGAGTCATTAACATCTAGCTAATCGAATTACTTTTAAGGATGGCTCGATTTAATGTAAATTGTAGGTTGAATCGGTTAGTTCGCTTAATTTCAATGAGATGTTTTGAGGTGCGCTTTTGTTGGTATGATTCAGACGTTTTCGTATTCTCTGACTAATAAGTAATATCTTTTTTCACTTGTAGGGATTATTTTTGCTATTCTACTGGTGATCATACTTCTAATATTAATATTTTTACGTAAGCGTATTCGTGTGGCTATTGCAATATTAAACGAAACAAGCAAGTACGTTTACTTGTGCTGAAATTTCTGTTATCTGCTTCTACTAACAGATATAATTTCACATTTTCCCCCTTTTAGTTTGAAAAAATATAGAAATATGATAAATCATAAAATGAATATGGTTTATGATTTTTCCGACATATTTCTTTCAGAGCAGTTTCAACTATGACATCTGTATTGTTTTGGCCAATACTACCGTTCATTCTTGAATTGATTGTAATTGCTCAAGTTTTATTTGTGGCTATTTCATTGAGAACAATATCTGATCCTGTTGGAACTAAAATTATGAATGGTGATCCTACCGTAACTCCGGGATTTGGAGATAAGACTAGAAATGATATAAGAGAAATTTTTCAACTTATTCCATGTGATCCTTTAGTAAGATTAATTTTATATGCAATGTAATATATGCTTCCTTTTGTTTCATTCATAGATTCTTCAAAATGATTTCTAGTAGTATGTCAGTCAGTCAGTCAGCTGCAACGTAGGACCAGGCATATATATGCATCGGTCCAAGTTGCCATACCGCATTTGCACAACAAGATAAACACCGGATTCATAGAAGTAGTTAATCCAGTGGTGGTAATATATAGAAGAAAGATTGCATATAAGGAGATAGTACAGGAAGAAAGAATTAGTTCGTAGAAAGAATGATACAACGTGGTTTTAATCTCTTAGTTTAAAGGAAGAAAGAGAGTGTATACGCCGACGCCATTGTGATCGATTCTGAGCCATGTCACCAAGAGTCTCCAACCATTGGTCACGATAGTCACGCGGACCCCAACCAGGCAGTCTGCACCTACCAACATGGCTCAGACTAGAAGTTAGTGACTTCAAGCACTGATGCCACGTTTTGGTTTGGCCGCCCGTAACTTTCTTCCAATTATCCCTGACACCAGTTAGCATTGCGCGTCGTGGTAATCGGGGTTTTATTTATTTATTTATGGCTTTACTCAATATTATATTTTGGTACAATATAGAATTCTCAGCATTCAGGCATACGCAACACGTGGCCCAACCGTCTCAGTCGATGAGGATTCATAACCTCCAACTGATTTACCATCATTCCCTAATACCCTGCGTCTAACCTCACTATTACTTAAACGTTGATCTCAGCAGATGCGAGCAATATTGTTAAGGTACCTGTGGTTCAATACTAGTGACTTACGAGTATCTTCTACTCTTAAAGGCCATGTTTCGCAGCCGTATAGTTGATAGATGGATATCTCGCCTGCACCATAGATGACGTAAGTTGGCGAAAGCCAAACGAACTTTTCGAATCCGTGCTGATATTTCGTCAGACACCAACTCATTAGGGCTGATCAGACTTCCGAGATAAGTGAAGTTGTCAACACGTTCGACTACTTCACTCCCTATCCTTAGTTCAGGTGTTGACGCAGACCAGTCCTGAAGCAACAACTTGCATTTAGAGGGAGAGAAGCGCATTTCAAACATCCTAGCATTGTTGCTCAGTGCAAATTAAAGACTCTGCATTTTATCAGCGTCTTCACCAAACAGGACTATGTCATCTGCGTATTCTAAGTCGAAAAGTGGACCTCCTGGTAGGAGATCAATATCCGAGAATTCAGTCGATGAGAGCGTTATTTCGATCAGGATGTCTATGATGAAGTTAAACAAAAATGGAGAAAGTGGACAGCCTTGGCGGACGCCACTTGAGGTTGCGAAAGCAGATGACAGTTCGCCATAAGCTCTAACTCGACTAGTATTGTTCGAGTAAAGAGCCTTCACAAGGTTTATGTACTTTTGAGGTACGCCTTTCAATGACAGACACTGCCACAGAACCTCTTTGTCTATGTGTGTCACAGTATAAGATTTAAGTTTATTAAGATAAGAATTTTGTGTGCTTATTTATTTTATTTATCACAACCTAGTATCTTTCAAAGAATTATTGAAATAGATGATGGTTCCCTTCATTGTTTTATACGTCTTAGTAATTCAGTAGTTGATCCTACTTGATTGAGTTTATGTTAATTTTGTGCAACTGACTGTCGGTGTTTGATAAATCTTGGCACTCATCAAATAAAAAAATGGTACACCGAAAGCCCGTACATGAATCAAATGTCCTGTATGCCTGTTGAATATCATTTCGTTGTTCATCTATCTCATAGTCCAGTACTTGTTATCCGCAGTAGACTATTAATCTTTTGCCGTGTTCTGAGACTTAAGATGTCACGATTCAATAAGAAGATAAGTGCAGTACTGTTAATCAAGTGGCCTAAGATAAGAATTATGTATGTGCTATAGAGTATTTATTCAACTTGGAACACTTCACTACAACATTTATTATTAATAAATTAATACTCATTAAAAATTTATTTGTATTCTTTACCATAACATGTCAATGACAAACATGACTTTTCTGTTTTTCGACCTTTTCGTGTTATTGTAGCAGAACAATTCAGCTGGCAAAGCTTGTCGTTTTCTGTATTATGGAGACCGGAAGTAAGTTATTGTGTGATAATCTAAGTTAGCGATACAGTACTATTAAGTATAAACTTAGATATCCACCCAGTATCTGGTCTACGACGGGTCACCATGCCATTCCTTTACGTTTTGCTCTCGTTACCACTGTCAATCACACACAGGATGTCGATTGCTTTCACTACTGATAAACAGTTAATTGAAATTTCATCAATCGAAATTTCAGAACACAATTAAATTGTAATACTTCTCGTAGTTCATTTTGTGATGTTTTATGTTTTGTAATATATTGAAATATTCAAAGAATTTATGATTCGAGCTTGACATCTCGGTTAGTTAACTTTATATGTAGACTATTGAGACTTTACAATTATGCCAAGGGATTTTTATCATGCAATAAATTTGTCTAATCTATGAAACTCGGCTTTGTATGATCGTCATAAAATTCATTGTCTTTAAATGACACAGTATATTTATTTATTTAAACACATAAACATTGGTACAAGCAAGCTACTCCCTTAGCTTTTGATCTACAGGTATAATCCACAAGGTAGTGCAGCAACGTAAGGAGATGCAGTCCCATGGTAGCCGGTGGCCAACAATTGGTTCAGACACCATTTATTCTTTCAGAATCATAGAGCCCATGTTCACCATTGGTTTGAATCAAGTTTCCCCAATTCTCCTAGGTGGACCCTCAGTTTCCACCAACCCGGTTAAAGCTTTGAACGTCCCTGGCAGTGGCTGTATACGCGTGGCCATGTGAGAGCATGTTGAGGGGGAGAGCGGATTCGCTCCACCCACATAACATATTAATACAAACTGATATATATATATATATATATATATATATATATATATATATATATATATATATATATTGAACTTTTTCAATGCTCTTTTAATTTATTTAGATAATATATAGTTACTAGGTTAAAATCACAATTACAGTTGTTAAATTAAATTCTACTTCACATAATCCCATATATATTTATACCTTTTTGCTGTTTTTTTCTATTTTAGATATACTATCTACCTACAATTTTTCAATTTGTTCATGTTCTTTTGGTTAATTAATTTTGTCAAATCCTTAACACAAATGACTTTAGCAGGAACATTTGCTGAATATTACTTTTCGTCTCATAATCAAAAATCTGCGTCGAAATGTCCATTAATAACAAGTCTATTTCGATCAACCTTTTATCATACTGGTTCATTAGCATTTGGATCATTTCTAATTGCTTTATTACAATGGCTACGTGTTACACTTGAATATATTAATGCAAAATTGAAGAAAGTTAATAATCCTGTTACAAATTTTCTCTTGAAATGTTTAAGTTGTTGTTTTTGGCTACTTGAAAAATTTCTAAGATTTCTTAATAGAAATGCTTTTATTATGGTAAGTTTTAATTTTTTTAGTAATACACTAAATGTTTGGGAAATATAGTTTCATGAGTTTCAATTATAATACGTCCGTACTTAGTCATGATTTGAAATCATGAACACATTACTATACATTCTCATTCCTAATGTTCACATGATTAATGATCGTTTTTCGTTCTTCCTATCTAGGTATCATTACCAAGGTTTGATTTGATAATTTCGAATAAATTGAGCATTGGGTTGATTGTTATAAATAAATAATATATTTGTAATATCCCAATGAGTAGAAAATTAGATTTTCTAACGTTTCGTGACTTAGTGTAAGTTGCTTCTTCAGAGAATAAATAACCAAATAGTACTATTTAAACTTGGATTAATTTTAATTTGGTTATTTATTCTCTGAAGAAGCGACTTACACTAAGTCACGAAACGTCAGAAAATCTAATTTTCTACTCATTGGGATATTACAAATATATTATTTATTTGTTCTTCCTATCTATTTGCTGTCAGCTAAGTCGATTTTAAATTGTGGGAACGTTTATGCGTTATTTACAATCTATTTATTATATATTCTAAGTGATTATTTTCAATCGTTTACATAGTTTACAATTTAGTGTGTAAATGTAATTTGCAAAATCTACATTAGTTCAGTAATTTAAATGTTAAACATGAACCATAGAGCTAAATTTTAAAAGATAACGTTGTGATGCCCTTAGTTTACGAGTGTTATACAATATTGAAAGTTGCTTGTGAAAGCGGTTGCAAATTAAATTTACTTAGATTCAGAATGACTTTTTAGATAACTCGACTTCATACATGTTTTTCCATACCCTCGTTCTACCTGTTGATATGTTTTGTTTTTATCGACCTATATGATTATAGCACAAATATGTATATACATAGATGGGTTGTCAAACATTTCGAAAATAAATTGATATTAGCTTTTTAATCGATTTTGTATCTAAAACGTATTACTTACTTATTTACTTACGTACTTTCGCCTGTTATCACACTTGCTGAGATAGCCTTTCTTTGGTGTTCTGGCCAGAAGTCCTTCCTCATCCTATATCTTGCTGAAGAGAATGTGGAGTATCCTTGCAGTTACCGCTACATCTGCTTTCAGTGCCTCTACTGGAATGTTGTCTGGTCCTGCTGCTTTGCCACACTTGATTTCTCTGATGACCATGCTGATCTCTTCAACTGTTAGTGGGCCAACATCGATTGGGAGGTCCGTGACTGCTGCTTTGATGTTGGGTGGGTTCAGTAGATGATGGAGAAGATTTGTAGCACAGGTGGATGATTTTGGTGGAATTTTTCTCCCTGAGCTGGATTGGTTCAGTGGAGCTGGTCGATTCAAGAGTTCTTTGAAGTGTTCTACCCACCTGTTTCTCTGTTCTTGGATGTTGGTGATTACTTTGCTCTCCTAACTTTTCACTGGTCGTTCTGGTTTACGGTGATTTCCATAGAGTTTCTTTGTTGTGTCATACAGTTGTCTCATGTTTCCTTCTCTTGCAGCCTTTTCCGCCGTCACTGCTAAATCCTCCACATATTTACGTTCGTCAGTACTGATGCTCCTCTTCACCTGCTTGTTTACTTCTGCGTATTCAGCTTGTGCCTTGGTTTTTGCTGCTCTTGTTCGACTGGTATTGATTGCTGCCTTCTTGTTCCTCCTTTCTTGAATCTTATCCAGTCTATCGACCGTGATCCAATCCTTGTGATGGTGCTTCTTTTGGCCCAGAACATCATGACATGTTGAAGTGATTGCCTCTTTTATCTCTTTCCAGTTGCTCTCCATAGTAGTTTCTTCTCCATTGAGTAGATCATGAAAGGCCTGGAACTTATTGCTGAGGGTTATCTTGAATTTATTGAGTTTGTCATTATCCGGAAGAAGAGCCGTATTAAACTATTGTGATATTGTCCTCCCCGTTGTCCAGTGCCTCTTGAGTTTCAATTTCATCTTGGCGGCCAGCAAGTGATGATCTGATGCTATACCGGCTCCTCTCTTTGTTCTCACGTCCTCCATCGTCCTCCTGAACTTTCTGTTGATGCAGAGATGGTCGATTTGGTTCTGTGTGGTGTGATCCGGTGAAGTCGATGTGGTTTTGTGTATGCGTTTATGTGGGAATATAGTGCCGCCTATGACCAGTTTATTGAAGGCACATAGATTTGCAAATCTCTCACCATTTTCGTTCCTCTCTCCCAGTCTGTGTCGTCCCATGCTCTCTTCATATCCGGTGTTGTCCATTCTAACCTTGGCATTTAAATCTTCTATCAGAATGGTTAAGTTCTTTGTTGGGCACTTCTCGACGATTGACTGCAGTCTATCGTAAAATTGATCTTTAACGTCTTCATTGTAGTCGTTGGTAGGTGAATAGAATTGAAATGCCCTCTTTCTTCGTTTTGAAGGAAGCGTTGATGATCCTTGGTCCATGAGATTTCCATCCGGGCGGAGTTTTCTAAAACGTTTGGGTTAATTTTATTTATTTAAACAGATGAACAATGGTACATGGAGGCACCAAACAGATATGCGCCACATCAGTCATTCGATTTGTGTGAGGGCTGGGATACTACTCGGGTGCCCTAACGAAGCAGTTGGTTTTCTTAGGGGGTCACACCGTGAGCCTTTGACCTAAAGGTCTAATCCACAAAGACAGTGGGACAGCATAAGGGGATGCAGTCCCATGGTAGCCGGTGACCAACAATTTGTTCCCTCAGGATACTAGAGCCCATGTGCACCATTGGTTTGGAATGTGGGTCTTCAAACTCCCACAGGTGGATCCACAATATCCGCTATTTCGGTTCAAGCTCCTGATACTCGGTTTTCGTCCTCTCGATTTCTTAAACAACACCCTTGCCGCGAGAAGGCAGTGAGTTGGACTACCCTGGTGGTGGCTGTATATGCGTGTCCATATGACAACATTTCGAAGAGAGCTGACTTCTCCCAATCTCGGCCTTATCAGGGTTACCTTTACTGCAGAATCCCTCGCATGATTGTGTAATTATGTTTTGCAAAATAAGAAGAAAGTTAACTGTAGTATATGTTTAAACTAGCGATGCCAAAATTCATTGACCGGTGTCGGATATTAACAGTTGTGATTATTCATTTTTAACATAAATAAAGATTATTGGGTTGTAATTTGGAATATAGGTTTTCTTTGTTTTGTTTACATATTGTGTATGTTTATCAGTGTAATCACAAAAAATCGTTTGCAGCTAGGAAATTCTCCATTTTATCGGTTCATAACATTTTCTTGGTTTATAAGTTCATGATTACTGTTGCTTGTAAAATCTATAGTTTGTTTATGGTTTATGTGTATTTTCTTTTATGTATGTACATTTCAGAATACCTTTTTCTTGCATACAATGTAAACATTCTAAATAACTTTTAATGTATTGTTCGAGTTCATTTTAAGTTTTTGATACACAATTAAATGATTTTGCTTTCTACTCATTGAGATCAAAATATTAGAACGTGACTAATGAGTGTTAGTGACGTACATTTTTTTTTTTTTTTACTGAAAACGTTAAGATATTATTATAATAGTCAGCAGTTCCGATAGTGAATACGGTTTTTTCTAGAACTATCTAATTAACGGTTTAACATCCAATATTGTAGATAATTCTGTAGTTTGTTGTTTAATCAGAAGTAATAGATTGTTCTATGCTTTCATCTACATACTTTGTTGAAATTGTTACTGCGTTATTATGGATGTACAACAACGAATCATTATCCTTCTTTTGAAGAATTTCACATTCTGTCAGTTACTGAATTGAATATCGCTTAATTGAATGTTCATTCTTATTTGGTTTACTAGAATCTAAAAAAGACTTAAGATTTGATTTCGTAAGTGAATTTTCCCAAACAGGTACTTTGCATGCATATGAACCGTTGGCAATATCTGTAAAACTAAATCAAACAGGAATTATTATTGATATACTTCACTGTAAAATATACAAAAGTAAACTTTCTAAGTGAAAATAATATTTAACTTAGTACTTTTTTATTTTTATTAATCCCATTTAGATTGCTATCTATGGTCAAAGTTTTTGTTCAGCCTCTCGTTCAGCATTGTCTTTACTCGCACGCAATGTGGTCAGGTACTTGTATATGAACATAGTATTATAAAATTTTCCTTAAAATAGATTATTCTATATAATTTCAATATATCCACATGTTTTGCAATTTCAACGTGTTCAATATAGTTTTATTTTCTTATTTTAAAGAAACCATTCTTTTCAACTAATCTTTTCTATTTCATTGTTTTGTAGCTTGTTTATATTTAGTGTCAATCACATTTATTTATTTCATTTTGTAAATAATCTTTTAAAATCATCTCTTGTAAATTGTAGAAGGTTAGAAATTATAAATGTCCTGCTTTTTAATACTATTTTTCTCGAAATTTGTATTTAGGATGTTTTATTTTAAGTTTACTGTTTTACTATCGACTGCGTAGGATATAAGCTATAAAATATTTATCAATGTAATTCATATATCATAAATATAGTTATATGTAATTGAAAAAGTCGAGGAATTATGTACAGATTGTCATAAATCACTTTAAACGTCAGTTATTTTGAGTAGCTTGAACATCTGAACTATCTATTCTTGCCGTGTAGATATTTCAACAAGTTATCTAATTTTTTTTGTTTTAATACATCATTATGGTTATTAATCGCATAACCTATTCAGGTGAGTTTCTGAAAAGTGTATAGCATTTCGTTGTACAAGTTACAAAAGACGCAATCAGAGATATCGTGGTTGCTGGTAGTATGCAGAGAAAAGAATGTACGTTATTTAGATGTCGATTTACTGGACTGCTAACTTCTAACTGGCGATCACTCAATATTTATCGTTAGGATCGACCAAGAAGTATGAGAGTAGAACTTGTTGAAATACTTTGTGCTGAGGATTCTATATTGTACCAAAATATGCTATTGAATAATACTAATAATAATCTGGCCGCTCATATTAGAATAGCTTGTGTATTTTTTATTACTATACACCATTGTTTTAATCGATTACTTGTCTCACTAAATGCAAATCAGTTTCTAAGTGAAAATAATCGATTGTTAGTTCTTATGTTTGAAACCCATTCAATCCTCAATTTTGTTAATGGGAAACTTGTAGTTTATTGGCTGACTTCACAAATGGTTACTTGTATGGTTGGAAAAGAATTAAGATAGTTCAAGGAAGAAAATTTTCTCGACGCTTGTTTTCTGTGCACTGAATATATATATATATATGTATATATATATATATATATATATATATATATATATATATATATATATATATATATACGCTTTCTGCTGAAAACTTATCTGCAGTATTTTCAAGGGCAACTTACTGTTTATTCTGCAATCGTTTCCTTTTTCCATTCATAGTTTCTTCTCTTTGTAACAGTTTGATAACGATTCTCATACGTAGTTTGATTATCTCTTGTTTTTCTATACATAGACTATTTGTGGTCGATAAAGTGACTGATTTCATTCTATTTATTGGAAAGCTTGTTGTTGTCAGTATTGTTGGTAAGTGAACATATTTGGATTTTATGTGAACATGACTAAATAATGTTTGGATAGGGTTATTTTTTTACTGTATTATAACATTGTATTACTGGTTCATTTTAAGGTTTGATAAGGACATTTCCTGTACAGTTTTATATAATCGGTGTCTGTAATGTCAATTTTGCATAACACCTTTTTGAATAAAAGTAAAGAGAATTCAGCGAAGAAAATTCTTTCACCGAAATGACAAAATCGGTTATTTTAACTAACTGTTTTGTTAGAAAAACAAAATGTTGGTTTTTCATATTAATAATAAATATGCGAAAATGACCAAGTATCAGTCTGATAGGTACTTTTCTTGAGAATCTGTTCGAAAAAAAACTTCTGTTTGACATATTCTAAAAAGAAAGAATTAATTTTTATTAATATCCTTCAGAAATCAGTTATTGGTTAGTTTGGTTATGAAAGATAGATAGCATTTATAGTGATCATTAATACTTGAATCCGATTTTACTGAATAATGATTTCACTGTATTACTAATCACTGCTTAAGCTGGTTAATAAATCAATCTTGGGATATGTTGAAACAAGTTGTTAGAAACTTAACCAATAACAATACTATACAAATTTCTATTGAAAATAATTGTATTTTTATAGTTGACCTTTATTTCATTCTTCGTAGTGGCCTTGTTTGGTCACCTGAATGTTTATCATCGTTAAGCGTAAGTGATTTCTACTATGACAAATCAAAACTTTCCATCTTCTCTTCTGTGTATTAGCATGCTGTCAAGTCTCATTTAAAAATTTCTATGTTACGCGTATTTTGCATGGATCTCACACAGTAATTTTCTGTGTTGTAATCATTGTTAGTTTATAAAATGCTATATTTGAGACTTCATACCATGGTTTGTATCATTGTACAGTAATGGTTACTATCAATTCACAATGTTGTCTAAACTAATTCATTTATTCCATTCATTCTCTAGTGAATATGAAGAATAATACAATTGCAACTATTAACATTTCACCTTGTGTTACTAGTTATTTTTTCCGGTTGTTTGCTATCTAAAATGGATCATAATTTTTTTGAATTCAGGTGGTATGGCTTATGTCTATTTGGAAGGTTTATTGTTCAAAGGAAATGAATTTCTAAGTGATGTGTTTAATTCTAATCTTCATTATGCATTCGTGCCATTGGGTGTAAGTTACATCTTATTATTGCATTTTTTTATAGTTTCACTTTGTTATTTTTGATGTACTTTTAAATCTTGCATGTTTATTTCATCTTTTAATCGGCTCAAGATTCCTTTTATCATGACGAGTGTTTTCATGGTTCTTTTCTTTCATGAGTTCATACATAACACTGAGTTATTTTGTACATTTATCGTATGTTGTACTGCTTGCTCTAATTTGGGTTTTGAAAATAATTTCAAAGTTGCTGTATGCTTAACATTTCGGTGGAGTTTTGTTCTCTGAACTGAATGGTTTGGTCGTGAAGCTTTCATCGTTCTTCTAAACAACATCATCAGCACAAGATTCAGGTAGAAGTGAGGTTTTCGAGTTTCTCCATGTGTGGCTCACAGCATGTCTTATAGACCTCCATCTTGATTGGTTATTGTTGACTTAACCTATCATTGTTTATTTTATTTTGATTGTATCTCCCATCGGTTTGATTCTTGGTCCTATATTTGTCCATAATTTTTCTAATTGGTTTATAAATTGGATCTGTTCCAATATGCTTGTTGATTGCAGATTGGCCTGAGTACCAAGCTTCTAAAAAATCCTCTGGTGTTTTTAGAATTACCTGTATCCAAGATCTAAATCGAATGTCTGTTCACATTTGTTTACGTGCATATACATACATATAAGCAAGAATATGTCATGACGTTTGGCCGCAATTTTATTTTCGTGTAGGCAAAAATAAAGAGGACATCCTCTTTGTCTACCAAAATCATTCACCTGAGCTACAAACCTCCGCTTTACATTTTTTTAAGGCAAAATAAAATGTATTCATTCATGTTCAGTCAGTCACTTATATGGACAATTTAGAGCATAGCATAAATGTGTATTAGCCCACAATATCATACCACATCAACATAACTTGAAGAAATTAACAAGATTACTAGTAAGATCGTTCAGATATCTATGATAACGAGAAAGGCTAAACATTAAAAAAATAGTTCGGTAGAAAGAGATGAAGTAATAATTTATCACATTACTTATGGGAAGGTAACTCGTGAATAGAACTGCGCGAGTATGAGAACGCACGTCAGGTAATCATAAACTAAAAAAACTTAATTAGTATATTGACTAAAAATAGCTTGTTCAAAGTGGTTTACGAGGGGAATACGAAATCCTTTCTAGGATATTCTTTAATTTATGATAAATCATTACTTTTTGTTTCGATAAGTTATAATACATTATAGACATTTATTATTTATTTATTTATTTGAACACATAAATATTGATACAAGGGGCACCAAATATATATGCGCCACACAAAACAATGAGATATTTAAGGAGAACGGAAGAAAAAAACAATAACAAACAGATTAGTGTAAGTTAGTGTAATAATAATAATGGAGGAAACAAAAAGCTGCAATCAGAAGAAATCTTTCAGTTAAGGAAGCAGCAACCACTTTTTATGAAGAAAGTAAAAGAAGGTTACAGCAGGATCGCCATTGGTTTCTATTCTTAGCCATATCTGATAATGTCTCTAGCCACTGTGTTACACCGTCTCTTGGACCCCAACCAGGGAGTCATGAAGGACCAACAGAAGCTAGCCCTTTGCAGCTTTCTTTCATACCACGACACCATGTCATAATGACCACCTCTCCGCTTTTTCCAACCAGTCCCAGGGTCGGCAAATAGTGCGCGACGTGGAATTCTCTAGTACGACATTCGTAGAACATGTCCAAGCCACCGAAGCCGGTGTTTCAAGATGGTGACACCAATTGCATTAACGTCTCTGCTCCCGAACACACGATGCCGAACCTCTGCATTACTAACATGATGTTACTGCATGTCAGAAATCCTGCGGAGACAACGATGATCAAACACAGAGAGTCGTCTACCATCCTCAACTCGAAGAGGCTAGGTTTCACAAGCATAGAGCAAAAGTGCTCTCACCGACGCGTTGTAGATCCGACCTTTTACAACCAGACTAACATCACGAAGGCGTCAAAGATGGCCCAGATTGGCATAAGCATCTCTAGCTTTCACTACACGTTCATTGATCTCATCACTCACGTGACCACCGGCACTTGTACTACTATCCAGATACACGAACTTCTCGACTACTTCTATCTACTCACCGTCCAGAGTGAGTACATGATTAGAATCCTGCCAGTCTTGTAGAAGTACTTTGCACTTCGAAGGTGCGAAGCACATACCATACCTACGGACATTGATTGCCAACTGATTAAGTGCGGATTGCATGGCTTGGGCATTATCACACAGTAAGACAATATCATCCGCATACTCAAGGTCGAGAAGTCTTTCTCCAGGCAACAGATCCACGCCACCATTATTTACATCCATCAGAGCTGTTTCCAGAATGTCATCGATGGCAAAGTTGAAGAGGAATAGTGAGATTTGGCAACCCTGTCTAACTCCACTGCTTGAATGGAATAGTGGAGAAAGGTGGTTGTATGCCCTCACTCTGCCTGAGGTGTTTGTGTATAGGGCTTTTAGGATGTTAATAAACTTCTCAGGCACACCCTTCTTCAATAGACAATCCCAGAGAACAGTTCTGTCCAACGAATTAAAGGCAGTCCTGATATCAAGAAACACTACGATTGTTGGCCTTTGATAAGTATGGCGGTGTTCTAACACTTGGCGGAGTGTGAAGATATGATCAATACATCCTTGACCAGAACGAAATCCAGCCTGCTTCTCGTGAGTCAATCCTTCTCGGGTTTTGAACAACCTACGAATTATAACGGAAGCCAATAGCTTGGACGCAGTCGGAAGTAGACTTATCCCCGATAGTTGTTACAGGAACGACGTGAATCATTTTTAAAGATAGGGACAACTATCGACTCATTCCATGACGTTGGTACACTCTCTAGTTCCTAGACCTTTATAAACAACGTCGTCAGTCCCTTAGTCAGAAAGTCACCACGATCTTTAAAAAGAGCCGGAGGTGAGTCATCTGGGCCCGGTGATTTGTAACGTTTCAAGAGTTGGAGTTCCTTGCGGACTTCCGCCTCATTTGGTGGATCAGTCGTCACCGGCCATGGAGGGCAGGACAGTCTGGCCGATGTTGCCGGAGCAGCAGGCCAGTTGAACTGCCCTTCGAAAAATTCTGCCCATCGTCCAAGACGTCGATAGATGTTAGTGATTGGCGTTCCGTCATCCTTGCAAATTGTTTCGCTCACACCAGACTTCTTGCTGCCAGTGGCTCGGATGAGTTGGAAGAGCTTCCGGTAATTACCAGATGCAGCTGCTGCTTCCAGCTCATTAGCACGCTCCGACCACCAGGCTTCTCGGTCCTTACGCGAGCTTTGCCCGATTTCATTACGTAACATCCTTCGTCTGTGGTCAAACTCACGGTCACCCGGAGTAGACCGACGGGCTACAATCAGTTGTAAGGAACCAGAAGAAACCCAGTGCTTGTAAGCGGGACGTTTCGCAAACCCACAACTGACTTGACCCGCCATTTTCATGGCGTCATGCAATTGCAACCAATGCTCATCTATACTTTTCGGTGGAATGGTAGCTAGCCTAGAAGCTAGCTCGGTTCGGTACATACTAGCAATAGAAGTTGCAGCAGCTTGCTAACATCAATCCTTTGGTGGCGGTCACTTCGTTGTCCACTGAAAAGTAAGGTAAGATTGGCGCAGACCAGAGCATGATCAGATTCCAAATAGGTACTCCAGAAGGAGCGGCAGTCTTGTACACAACCACGCCAGCGGTAGCCGATCGCGATGTGATCAATCTGAGTCCAGGCTTGAGATGCAGATAGGGGGCGCCAGGTGGCACTTCAGCGATGACTGTGCCGAAAGTTGGTGCTAGCCAGAAACAGGTTGTGGTCTGTGCACAGTTGCAGTAGACGTTTCCCGTTATCTGTCCTGCGACCAATGAGACCCATCGGCCACCTAAACGACTCTCTTCTGTGCCTAGACGCCCGACCTGAGCATTCGAGTCTCGGGCTAGTACTACAATATCTGTCGAACTCACTTTCTGGAGAAGAACAGTTAGCTGGTTGTAGAATTCATCCTTGATTGCATCCGGGCTGCAATCTGTCGGGGCATAGGTTGAGACGACGAAAAGACATCGTTTCTCACGCCGATTTCTTCTCACTTTGATGGAACTTTCTAATCTAACAGCACATAACCGACTGTTAATGGGGATCCAGTCGACTAGTGCTGCCTCAGCTCTTGCGCTTAGTGCGACACCAACGCCAGCAAGACCAGACGAAGATGCCACAGGGTCCCCGGATAAACGCACGTAGAACAAGCCTTTTGAAGTTACAGATGGAGAGCGAATTTGTATTACTTTACCAGAGTCGTGAATACGGGTCTCGGATAGACAACAAACTTCAATATTAAGACTTTCCAAAGACATAGCCAGACCTATCTGTTGTCCGACCTGCATAAGTGTGCGAACGTTGAAGGCAGCCAGTTTGAATGGTGCACGTGGTTTCAGAAAAACTGCTTCATTATTCGTATTTGGTGGTAGTAGCATACAATTTTCAACCAGGCAGTGACTCGAGAACGTTTAGATAGAGCCGAATTCCCACCATAAGCGAGCTGCTGTATAAGTCGGAAAATAAGGATACATAAAGTGGGAGTAAAAGATAGTGAGTAAATGACGTAGTAAATAATAATAATAATAATAATAATAATAATAATAATAATAATAATAATAATAATAATAATAATAATAATGGTAATAATGATAATAATGCGAGTTATTTGATAGTTAATCGGAGCTTTACTGCCCGGGTTCTCAGACCGAAGCAGTTGGTTTTCTTAGGAGGCCACACCCCGAGCCTTTGACCTAAAGGTCTGACCCACAAGTCAGTAGAGCATCGTGAGGAGATGCAGTCCCATGGTAGCCGGTGACCGAGAAATCGGTTCATACTCCATTTGTTCCCTCAGGATACTAGAGCCCATGTGCACCATTGATTTGGGATCCGGTTAAAACACCGGACACTCGCTTTTCGTTATCTCGTTTTCGTAAACAGCACCGCCACCACGAGAAGGCAGTGAGTAGGACTTCCCTGGCAGAGGCTGTATACATGTGGCCATGTGAGAGCATTTCGAGAGGGAGAGCGAACCCACCCCACTCTCGGCTATACCAGTACATTTGGGGCATAAGTTTAAGAAAATTATTTTATAGTATACGTAATGTACACAATTTATTTTGATATATTATTTACTTCATTAATGTAAAACGTGTTGCATATTCTTTTTGTTATACATTTTTAGATTATCATACTTGCATCTTACCTTGTGGCGTCATTATTCTCAAGTGTTTTTGAAATGGGTGTCGATACAATATTTCTTTGCTTTTGTAAGTACTTAATAACATTTTTTATATTCTTAACTATTGTTTGGTTGCATCATGTTACATGATTCCTTAATTCATCAGTGCAATTATCTAGTTTGACATTTCGTTAATTTCTGGATTTTCATCTTCGGTTGTCGAAAAATATCCTCGACATTTGTCAATGTAAATTAGTTATTGTTCAGTCATGTTCACTGTTTTCCTGTCTATCATAATATATTCACAACAATATCAAGTATTTAGTATCATAATAATGTCTTTCAAAATCACGTTTTAAATATTCTTATATAAGGCCCTCTGACCCAACACTTCTGTATGGTGACTCTACAACTACCCTATTAAGGCTTAATATTTTCGCATATTGTTTTGAATTTTTGACAATGTACGTTTTCTTAGGCAAGTTGGTAAATAGTCATTGCTTAGTGAATTCCATCAAATTATTACAGTTTCAATCTAACTGATGTATTATTCATGAAGCTAAACCGATAACATTGAGCTTCTATTTCCGTTAATAAATAATCTTATCAGTAATACATTTTCGCAATATTATTTCCTTGTTTCTGTGCAGTGGAACATATGGAAAGCAATGACAAACCTGATGAAAGTTCATACTGTATGAGTACTTAATATAATTCTTTATATTTATAACCAATTTTGGTATTAAACTTAATCCCTCGATAAATTTAAGCAAAGCAGGAACAATCCGATCTACAGAATAAATTGAATTCATTCTGTTTCAGTGCTTATCATCAGCTGCGAAGAGTCCTAAATTACAGTTTTAACATACCTTTGTTCGTTTACATAAAATATGTTAACACTATTTGTAGTATTAAACTATTTGTCACTGACGAGAAGCCATCAGATAGAATAAGTTCACTTTATTCTTCAATTCTCCTTGTTATTCTCTCTAAACATTTCAGTCTGTCACACAATTTCTTAGATCACATCTCAATCATCATGCAACTGTTTCGTTCTATCTAGGTTTAACTGAATGTATTGACCAGATATGTAATTCCTCTGAAATTCAGGAACACAAGTATTTCTACTGACCCTAGGGGGGATTGGATTCCTTCTGTTTTGGGATTTTTTGGTGGCTTCTTTCTTTGCTAAATAAAACAACTAATCCGTGACCATGGTGAAAGCCTTCCAGTCGGATTTGCAAAGTCGAGTTTCAGTTTCTTAGGAGCTGTCATCCATATTGGCTGTTGGTTTTTCACCTTACGTTTTTTCTCGGTTATGGCTTTATGGTTAATATTTTGTTTCTAACTACCTTCCGTTAGTATGTTGTTCGTGACTTTTCTCGCTGATATACAGTACTCGAAGCACATAATCCTGTATCTACAAGATTCAGTTAAATTGTAGTATTTGAAAATCACTTCTCATCCTTCACATGTTTTATCAGACTAACTTATGTAATTATTTAGTTCGATCATTAGATGCAAAATAGTTGCATATATTTGTCGCTTCAATAATCTTGGGATTCTCATTATTTTTTGATAAGATTGTTGTTGACAAAAAGTTCGTTTGACATGTTACAATGTAAACAGATTATTGTGAACTCAAATTTATGATCTATTTATCTTGTGGAAATATTACCTTACGTTTTTTCTCGGTTATGGCTTTAAGGTTAATATTTTGTTTCTAACTACCTTCCGTTAGTATGTTGTTCGTGACTCAAATTTATGATCTATTTATCTTGTGGAAATATTAAAATTGAATTATAACTAATGAGATACTTAATTTTATTGTATTTCATTATTTTTTGTACAGTGGAAGATTTAGAAAAAAATGATGGATCTGCTGAAAGACCATATTATATGAGTAAAAATCTTATGGATATTTTGGGAAAACGAAATGCTCAATTATCACAAGTTAAACAAGATATTTAATTTTTTTTCAATGTGCGCCTTTGTTACACGTTATAGTTTTTTTGTTTGTTTTTGTTTCTAATTTTACACAAAATATTTGTGAAAAAATTCATTTGGAATTAGAATACACTTTCTGGAATTACAAATAGAAATAGAATCAATCATATTTCATTTGCATTTTTTTTCCCGCCAAACATTATTGACTTGCTTTATCACAATCTCTTCCGTAATATTCACCCACGGCTTTATTTGCCTAGGTACTATAATTTATCAGAAATAATTTTTATTGTTCCTTCTTGGTTTTTCTTCCGAATAACTCATATTACTATTATTATATATTTCGCTTAAAATTTGTTACACGGTTTTTTTTCGTTTTTTATATCTAAAATTAAATATTTAGTTTACTGACCTGATATGTTTTATAATACTGATTGATATGAATAGTTAAGGATCATTGTTATCTAAATAGTGGATGATCTTTTCGATTTTACAAATATGACTATTCGGAGTGTTCAGTTTTTTTAAACACCTTAATTACTGGACATTCTTTTATTTCATAGAAAAAAGAAAGTGTTTATAAGATTGTGGTTGTAATGTAGCATGGTATAACCTGATAATGATTGTGCTGTAGTCTGTCAAAGAAGTTTTTAGAATTGGTTTCATGTAATTTGTTTAACGCAGACGTAATAAATAATTTCTCATCAGCGTTTGTGGACTGGGTAAGTTTAATTGATATGAATTAGTTGCGTTTGTAATTAAATCACTTGTCGGAAATAATATAGGAACAACGTGAAATAGATTTAATCCTGACTTATTCTTTGAAGAGAAAATTACTGTCTGCTATCAAAAAACAGAAGTGGTATATCTTTTTCGAGACTACAAATATTTAAGTTCCCAGTCGAATATAATTCATCCATGGTTTCATGATATTTTACATGCTGAATATCGTGACAATCCAAAATGGTAATACAACCTTTTTGAAGACTATCTCATCATTATTTGATAATACTTAAGTGTTATTACGTAAATATATGATTACTTTTTAATGGAAATTTAAGGTATTTACTGAACGTATTTGACAACTAATTAACTTACGGTAAGTACTTATATCTAACATAACTACAAAAGTTATAATATCTAGTTTTATTTTACAGTGTTGTAAGTGTATTAAATTTTCACGCTGATGAGCGATTAAAGTCGTGTGAAAAATTAACGTTCAAATGCCTCGACTTCATACTTATAATCGACAATTTTAGCTTACTCACAAGTAGTATAAAATAGGTAAAATCATTTTATACCCAACCTTGCTATTCCACAGATCTTTGTCAAATACACAATCTTAGATAAAATATCTAAATCCTCGTTATGACACACTGTTCAATGTTAATCAAGACATAATATGGGGGGTTTTTTTGAGGTAGGGAATAATTGAGAAAACCACACCATTTTCGCGATACTTCCGTGTAGTTATCTGCAATTATGATAGACATTTATATGATAGTAGCTTTTCCTGGTAGTTACTATTATCGTTATTATTTGTAATATACAGGTTGGAGTACCTATATTTTATTTCCAAATCACTAATTACAAATATATATGTATATCTTACGTATGTGATTAGATCACAGGATATTGTAAAATTATTTTTCTATGTTGGCTTATTTCTGATTTATGCTCGGTCAGTTATTTTTATTACACCTAACTGCTTTTATCTTCTAAGTGAATGCTGTTATTGTGTATTTTTGTTCTTACGTAAATGCTGAATGTACTGCTAATTTTGTAAAATTTAAACAAGTTGTATTTTAAGAATTCTCGATGATCACATAGGTAACTGTTCTTCTCTAGAAAGTGCGTTCGACAGATATTGTAGTACTAGCCTGTTATGATTTGATGTCCTGTTTACGATCACGTGACTTATCCACCAATCAGAATACGGCTTATACAAATATTCGCACTATGACAAAACCAATGACGTTCAACCGGTTTGCGCAGTCTAGCGTCCTTATTGGGTCCTATGTCCTTCTAGCCCGTCCTCTTGAGTCCAGAACACAACACCAGCTTCCGCAATATGAATCGAATCATTTATTTCAGACATACTCGGTTTATATATCAATCAGACAGACCATAACGTACCATAAAATAGAAAATAACATGTACACAAATAGGCCAAAAAGTGGCTGTGAATGTGGGAGACAGTAATTAATAGACAGGTTATAACTCAAGAATAATAAATCGTATAGTAATAATCTATGGGTCAAAATAAAGCTTACAATAAGTGGAATATAAATACACATAATGTAATTCTTGAATAACTATACAATAAGAATATTTATAGAATATTAGTCCATTAATAGTCCTCGAAAGTTACCTGTAGTTTAATCTTCACTGGTATATAACACCCCGCTTTTTTCAAGCGTTAGATATAATAATGATCCTTAGGATTTATTTTTATTCGATTATCTTCCCGTCTGATGCACTGAGATTTTCTCGGGAGTGTTGTATGCGTCTTGTTATTATTCAGGTCATTTTTAATTTCATTATCCGACTCAGTTAATATATTTATTGGTATATTCGACTTTACATCATTTCCTGTCTCCCGCTCCTGTCTGGTTGGCTGCATCTGGTTTGCGTGTCGCACCCATATCTTTTGTCCAACTTTTAATTCATAGATAACCTTCCCTTTTTCCGTATTATGATGCCAAACTTCCAGGTTGGCTTTACTCCCGTGAAATCGCTTGCTATTACAGCTTGTCCCACTTTAAAGCTTCTGGGCAATGCACCATGCCGCTTGTTGAATTGCTGTTCCATTCGTTTGCTGTTGCGGAGGTTGGCTGTAAATTTTGGTTTTATTTGCTCTATATGTATTCTAATCTTTCTCCCAAAAATTACTTCTGCTGGACTTTCTTGATTATTTGTTGTTGGGTTGGGTTTCGCTCTGTAGGTTTGTAGAAATCTTTGGATAACCTCTTCTATTTCCCCTTCTCCTTCGGCTTTAAGCAGTGCTCTTTTAAACGTATCCACGGATCTCTCGACCAGACCTTTGGACTGCGGATGGTATGTGGGTGTCTTTATATGCCTAACGGCGTAGGCGACGCAGAACTTCGAGAATTCGGCGGAGGTAAACTGTGGTCCATTATCAGACACCAGTACATCTGGACACCCAAAGCAGCTGAATACTTGTCTTAGTTTTTCAGTAGTGGCTTTTGTCGAAAGAGACTTCATGCAGTGGATCTCTGGCCATTTTGAGAAGGCATCAACGATCACCAGGTACTGTTTCCCGTTTATGGGACCTGCGAAATCCACATGTACTCTTGACCACGGATTTTTCGGTGTCCCCCAACTCTGCATTTCTGTCTTGCGAGGGGCTTTGATAGCTTTTGCGCACGCGGAACATCTCTCAACATAGTCTTTGATCTGAGCGTCAATATTCGGCCAATATACATACCCACGTGCAAGTGCCTTCATCCGTGCTACCCCTGGGTGTGCAGCATACAGTTCTGACATCACCTTACGGAGTAAGTTTGAAGGTACAATTACTCGATTTCCGAGAATTCCGACGGTGAGAATACTGTTCAATATTTTTGTTGTCTATATGGGTAGGCCAACCATGTTCGAGGTATCCAATAATCTACTTCAGCTCATCGTCTTTTTGAGTATGGTATTTAATATCTTCAGAGGATAACGGGGTAGCTTTTATAGCAACTTGTAGTATATGATGAATATCATTTTCCAACGATATCGTCGCGATTATAGGATCTTCGCTTTCCTACTTCCGATTCGTAATTAATCGGGATAAAGCATCAGCTTGCCCAAACTTTTGGAAATCATAAGCAAGCAACGTAATAGCCCAGCGTTGTAATCGATTCGCTGTATATGCAGGAATACCTGACTTCAATCCAAATATAGGTAAAAGCGGCTTGTGGTCCGTTAAGAGGGTAAATCGACGACCATAAATCATTTTATGGAATTTCTTTACTGCAAAAACTAAAGCTAGTCCTTCCTTCTCAATCTGACTATATTTTCACTCAGCTGAGTTAAGAGTTCGGGATACATGAGCAATTGACTTTTCTTTACCATCAGGAAAACGATGGCTGATAACAGCTCCAATTCCATAGTTTGAAGCATCGGCAGCTACGATTATGAGTCAGCAACAGTTTAGAAGATAAAATCCTTTTTATATCATCGAAAGAATCTTGACATTCCTGTAGTTTAATCTTCAATGGTATATAACATAGCCGGAGACTTGAATGCTCAGGTCGGGCGTCTAGGCACAGAAGAGAGTCGTTTAGGTGGCCGATGGGTCTCATTGGTCGCAGGACAGATAACGGGAAACGTCTACTGCAACTGTGCACAGACCACAACCTGTTTCTGGCTAGCACCAACTTTCGGCACAGTCATCGCTGAAGTGCCACCTGGCGCCCCCTATCTGCATCTCAAGCCTGGACTCAGATTGATCACATCGCGATCGGCTACCGCTGGCGTGGTTGTGTACAAGACTGCCGCTCCTTCTGGAGTACCTATTTGGAATCTGATCATGCTCTGGTCTGCGCCAATCTTACCTTACTTTTCAGTGGACAACGAAGTGACCGCCACCAAAGGATTGATGTTAGCAAGCTGCTGCAACTTCTATTGCTAGTATGTACCGAACCGAGCTAGCTTCTAGGCTAGCTACCATTCCACCGAAAAGTATAGATGAGCATTGGTTGCAATTGCATGACGCCATGAAAATGGCGGGTACAGTCTGTTGTGGGTTCGCGAAACGTCCCGCTTACAAGCACTGGGTTTCTTCTGGTTCCTTACAACTGATTGTAGCCCGTCGGTCTACTCCGGGTGACCGTGAGTTTGACCACAGACGAAGGATGTTACGTAATGAAATCGGGCAAAGCTTGCGTAAGGACCGAGAAGCCCCCCAAATGCCCTGGTACGGCCGAGAGTGAGGGGAGTCCGCCCTCCCTCTCGAAATGCTTTCACACGGCCATGCGTATACAGCCTCTGCCAGGGAACTCCTACTCACTGCCTTCTCGTGGCGGGGGTGTTGTTTACGAAAATGAGAGGACGAAAAGCGAATGTCCGGCGCTTTAACCGGATCCCAAATCAATGGTGCACATGGGCTCCAGTATCCTGAGGGAACAAATGGCGTTTGAACCAATCAGTGTCCATTAGTATGGTATGTGCTTCGCACCTTCGAAGTGCAAAGTACTTCTACAAGACTGGCAGGATTCTAATCATGTACTCACTCTGGACGGTGAGTAGATAGAAGTAGTCGAGAAGTTCGTGTATCTGGATAGTAGTACAAGTGCCGGTGGTCACGTGAGTGATGAGATCAATGAACGTGTAGTGAAAGCTAGAGATGCTTATGCCAATCTGGGCCATCTTTGACGCCTTCGTGATGTTAGTCTGGTTGTAA